AATGGCAAAGCGAGGAGTGAGGTATCGTGACACCAAGCATATGCTTATTTCTAGAAGAAAACAGTGTCGGATGTTGCACAGAGATCAGGAAATATGAAGACTGACGTTTTGATTGAGTCTGGCAGCAGTACCTCATGTGCTCCTCACAGAGATCCTGCAAGATGGGTGCTCTTTATTGATGAGGAAGCTAAGGTTTAGTGATTCTTGTAGATGCTGTCATTCATGCAGCTGCGCAGAACGGCAGCTGAGATGACACCCACATGGTCAGATTATGAAACCCTCATCCTCCCTCTACTCCCTGCTCCTGGAGGAGGCAGCAAAGAATTTTACCCGGATTTCTGAGCAGCAGTAAGGACAGTTTCCTTTCTCTTGCCTCTAAGCGGAGAATTTGGTTTTTCTCTTTGCTTATGAAGGGCCTTAGACTTCCTCAATCCTTCTTGAGATGGACAACCTGAGGTTTAGGTCATTTTCAAGGGTCATTGTCATCTGTAAGAGCCAAGCTTTTTCTATTTCTCAAACTTGACTTTTTAGGTAAATGGTTCAGTAACTTTGTTACAGGAAATAATACCAAATATGAAATATTGTATCTCTCAACCTATTAACTGTATTACACGCCAAGTTTTTTTTTTTGTTTGTTTGTATCAGGGATCAAACTTGGGTACTTGTGCTTGCACAGCAGGCGGCAAAACCACTGAGCTAAATCCCTGGCTACATGCCGAGTTCTTGTTCTCTAGAAATCGAAGAATGAGTCCTAGGAACAACAGAGGTTAAGAGTAGGAAGATGTTTATTGATAGGAAAGCTCCTGAGGGGCAGGAGGGGACCTAAGTGAGTAGCTGAGAACCCTGCTTTACTGAGGAATTTTATAGGTGAAACTCACATGGGTATAACGTGGGCCACAGCCATGAACATCCAATAAGGTTACAAATATAGTCACTTAGGTAATGGTGGTTCAATTGGGAAACAAGTCATTTAACAAGCGTGGATGGAAAGAACAAAGATTCTCCTAGGAAGTGGTGGATCCAGAGGTCCTGGTCACCCACAAGGGTGGTTGATGTCTATCTAGACTTCATGAGGCCCAGTGTTTGTTCCTTGAGGAAGTATGTAGGTCTGGCCATCTTGTCTTTATCTTTATTGATCTGTCTCCAGTGCAGCTGTGGTGTGTTTCACCTTTGTCCTGACCCTCTTGAGGACCTAGTCCTATCTGACTGCCTATAATATTTCTACCTAACTCATCTATCTATCATAACTTCAGCCATCTGAAAAACGCAGGTCAGCCTCAGTGAGTTTGGATATCATTACTGTCAACTTGACTTCTTTTTTACTCAGAGCAGTGTGTTGTTTTAAGAGAAAATAGTTAAAAGATGCCCAGAGGAAAGGCCAGGACAGTTGATGTCATGGGGACACAGTGTGCTGGGCTCAGAGTCCTTCCCCATCCTTATGGATCAGAACCAGGCTCTGTGCTCATTTTCATGTCTAGCACCCTGGGAGAGTTTAATTAGAGTAAAGAAAGTTAACAATTAAAATTGGAGCTGTCTTTTCTCACTTGGTTGAGAGAATAAATAACATAAAAGGACTAGCTTCTCAAAAGTAAACTTTGGGTTATTTGCGTTAAAACTTCAGCATTTAAAATGGCTTATCAAACAAATGACAAGACAGGATATGGCAACAATTCCATTTATGCCAGGACCGTAAATCTTGGCTGGGGTGCACAATTCTCTTTCTTTAATGTCAGGTCAATATTTAGCAATGCCGAGATGAATTGAGGACCTCATGAAGATGATGACTAGCTTGAACTTACTGTTCACGGCAGCATGTGCGTCATCCTTTCCCATACTTTGTCAGAGGCCGTTTGCATGTTTACAGCTCTTTATGCTCTGCCTTTGATAGAGACGATGAAATATAAAAATATTATATCTCCCAACCTGACATGCCGAGCTCGTGTTCTCTAAAAATCGAAGAATGAATTCTAGGAACAATGGAGATTAAGAGTAGGAAGAATTTTTTGAGAGAAAGATAGCTTTTAAGAGGGACAGCAGGGGTCCCAAGTGGGTAGCTTGGGACCCACTTTACAGGGAGGTTTTATCGAGCAAAACCCACGTGGGTACAATAGTGATCCAATGGGGACATGCCAGAGTACATGGAAAGGACAGGTAGGTGATAGATCTGGGGGTCTTGGTCACCCGCAGAGGTGACTGATGCTTATCTAGACTTTACCCGACCAGATGTTATTACTCATCTCATCCCTTGAGGAAGTATGTAGGCCTGGTCCTTTTGTCATCTTGAGGCTTGTCCCCCAGCTGATGTGTCTCTGGCCACAGTTGTAGTGTGTGGTTTTTTTTGGTTCTGGGGATCGAACTCGGGTCCTTGTGCTTGATGGGCAGGCAGCAGAACCACTGAGCTAAATCCCCGGCCCCTGTTTTCACCTTTTGTCTTGACTCTCTCGAGGGCTCAGCCCTGTCTGACTGCATATCATATTTCTGTCTTACTTAGCTGTCCATAATACCTTGACCAGTGTTAATGCTTGTGAGCACCTTGGGGTGACCCAGACTATGTGGGATCTGAAGCTTATAAAAATGGGGCCTTCTTAAAAATAAAGAATACAGAGCCAGGGATTTAGCTCAGTGGCACTGTGCCTGCCTTGCAAGTGCAAGGTCCTGAGTTCGATTTCCAGTACCAAAAATAAATAAATAAAAATAAAGAGTACAGAATTTGGCTGGGGGTACTGTTTGATGGTAGAGCACTTGCCCAGCATGTGTGAGGCCCTGGGTTCGATCACCATTGTAAAAAAAAAATACAGAATTAAGTATAAAAAACTGATGGTTTATTCAAAATGAGAAAAGAAGGGAAATAAGAAGGGACTGGTGCAGGAAAGTGATCTTGAAGCCTAAGTGTAGTTAGTTTAGTCTTGGTGAGTTGGCTCCTAAAGCCATGGAGTATCTTTTCTAAAATGAGATGCCTTTGTTACACCCCCAGGCCTTCTGTCTGGTGGCCTAGTATCTACCCAGTAGCCCTCAGCTCCAGCTCTCTAGTGGCAAGTCCTGCAGGCAGCCATGGGACATATTGCACCCATGTGTGACTCATTTCCACTCAGCACTCTGTACTCACCTACAATGGCTCCTGAGCACCAGTACGGTGTCCGGGCAAGGGAAAGGGCACTAGCAGCCAGTCTTGCTCTCCAGAATCCCCCAGTCCAGTGGCTCATTGCTCGATTTCAACCATGACTGGGTGGGCTTTGTTCCTGTTGTGGTCACCCATACTGCTGGGATGAGGGCAAAGCAGCGTGGCAAACAACGTCTTTAGGTTGATAACCCCCAGTGCACATCTGTAGCCAGAAACTCAACCCTATGGTCCAGACTGAACAAACCCCTGGCTTCCTCAGCATTGCCACCGACCTCTATGACACTCAGTCCTCCTCTTCTGCTGCTGTAGCTCCCAGTGAATGGTACACATCCTCAGAACCTAGGGCTTAGACTGGACTTCCTTCCCTTTCTCCCTCCTTCCCTCTCAGCCCTTTCCTTTTTATTATACTGGGGATTGAGCTCAGGGCCTTCACACTGAGCTGTACCCCTGGTACTTTTTCATTTTTATTTTGAGACAGGTTCTAAGTTATCCAGGCTGGTTACCCAGGAAAATATGAGTACTGAAAATGAGATAACAAAGAATTAAAAAAAAATAGATTTCTTTTGTTTTCAAATAATTCCATATGAAACATTTTGCTGAAAATGAAGTGATTTTAAATCTATACATAAAAGATAATCAAATGATATTCAAAGGGACTGGAATACAGCTCAGTGGAAGAGTATATACTTTGAATATGTGAGGTCTGGGATTTCATCCCTAGCACACACACACACACAAAAGATATTTAGGACACATTACACATTTAATTTTAAAATTTATAACAGGTCTTGCAATGATTTCAGTAAATCAGGCACTCCACAACACAACGTAGAGGTACAAAAATTATGTGGTGACTGCTTCATATTCAAAGAGGATAAAGATCCTTTCAAATATGGAAAGAAACTAATCTTTTTACAATGTTAATCCCTAAGAATTATGTATAATAGATATTGTGAAATAGGAAGAAAATGTTCAAATAGGAAGGAGAATAAGGAAGGGAGGAAGGGGAAGAAAGGAAGGGAAAAGGAAAAGAACAGAAGGAAAAAATAGAAACAAAGCTTTGGTAAAATAAGGAGAGGAAGAAGTGTTCAAGGGAGGGGAGGGGAATGGGGAAAAAAGAAGACTGAAGATACATTAGGTACAGATACAAATTCCCTATGATGAATGTTACCATTATGTATATCTAAAATGTGCCAATAAAATTAATGGAAAACAAGAACAAAAAATCCCTAAGAATTTTCTCCTTTATAGACTACAGTGTTATTGCTGCTTTCATATACTTTTACTTTTTGAAGATCTCCCACAGGAAGACAGTTCTGGTGCACCTCCCAGATATATACCACTACCTTTTCTGTCCTGCATATAACACGTGCAGAGAGTATGGCACATCCACATCCAGATTCCTGTGATCTAGGGGCTTCATAATCGCTGCCTTTATCATTGTGCCCATGGCAATTTAGATTGTTGCATTTCCCAGTTTCAAGTTTTCTTCATTAATCAGAGATTTGCAATGCAGCTGGTGGCTCGAGCTGAAGGTGATGAGGGGGTCACTTGCGCCCCTGGCTGGCCCAGCTCCTCATCTCCAGGGCCCTGCAGTGGCTCCTTCCTCCTCCCTCCATGGGGCTGGGGAGTTTTAATTGTAATTCCACATTCAAATATGAAGATGTGCAAGTCCCTAAATGTAATTTCTTGAGAGTTCATTATATTACCACAGTTTTGCTAAGTAAATGCAAATCGACTGTATGGAAACTGTTGCTTGTTTTATATGCAGAGATGTCTATTTTATGATGGAAAGTCATTTACAGACAAAGCCTTTCTTAAATGTTATGACAATAATGTGTAGTTAATGTAACCATGCATTTTGCTTCTTCATATTTAGGAAATAATACAGTTCTGGCTCTTGAAGGGTGTTGATGGCTTTAGTTTCGATGCTGTTAAATTTCTTCTAGAAGCAAAAGATCTGAGAGATGAGATCCAAGTCAATAAGTCCCAAAACCCGGTAAAACTTCAAACTTTTTTCTTTGACTTAAAAAACATGTCATCAGAATGTTTTCTTTTTTACCACTTACAAAGCTAAGTTCTGTCTGGTTTGTAGGAAGTACTTTGAATCAACTTCTTTAGGACAGAGGAGTTTCTAATGCACATGCCCACATCCTTCCTTCCACCTGTTCTTTCCAGAGCAATGGATCATGGGAGGAGCCCCTCAGCATTGAGGGTTCTGAGAACACAGACACTGCAGACTCTACCGAGGACCGCAGAACGGAGAGCAATTTGCTCCCTGAGCTTTTGTCATTTCATTCAACTCAAGTGAGGAGACCTTAAGTCCCCAGTTGTTCAAGGACACACAGGTGGAAGAGAAGGGAACTGACATTGGCCATGTGTCCGGTGTATGTTCTGTGATGTTTACTCAGGATGTTTCATTTAACTCTCTCCATATCTCAAGAGAGGTTTCAGGATCCCCGTTTAGCAAACCTGAGAGGAGTTAACTTCTGTTATCAAGGGCTATACAAGTGGTAAGTAGAATTCTGAACCACACTTGCTCTCTCACTACAGACTCTGAAATCTTTGGGGTTCCACATCAGTGATTCTTTTTTTTTTTTGTATCAGAGATCGAACTCGGGTCCTTGCGCTTGCGAGGCAGGCAGCAGAACCACTGAGCTAAATCCCCGGCCCCACATCAGTGATTTGATTCTTAACCTTCCCCCAAGTCACACATGAGAGATGGTAGTCACATACCACATTAATCCTCTGCTTGACCTCAGTTTTATAGTTGCTATTTTTTCAATGGGAAGTAGAGAATAGTTCTAAAATACATTCCAAATGATGGTTTTGTGATTTATAGTCACATAATAGAATGTTATATGCTAACCAAAATAAATTAACTGCAGTGACACATGGCAATACGGCTGAATCTTAGCAAGGCAGTGCTTAGTAAAAAAAAAACCAACCCACTAAGATTATTATATATGATGCCTTTTGGATGAAGTTAAACAAGTAAAATGAAATCCATATGGTTGGTTTATTCTAACTTTTGTCCCAAGTAATTTTATGGGTACTTATAACTGAATTAAAATGACTAACTAAAGAGAAATTGGCCAGGCACAGGCTGATTATGACACTGTTACAGACCTAAGATTATGATTAAGCCTAATGTTAATTTGCATATGATTTCCAATAAAAAAGAAAGACTAAGAAACAAAAAGACGCTGTATTAGCCAGTCATCCCAAAGAGCAAGAGCCGCTTCTTGGAGAAGAAATCCTGAAGTAACTTTGCTAACTGTAATGAGACATCACAAAGCCTGTGTCTGTAGCATGACAAGCCATCAGAGCAATGGGTTTGGGTGCGACCCAAGACGAACTTACAGAGCGTGCAATTTCAGGAAAAGACCCAAGACTCAAAAAACAAAACAAAACACGCCCCCTCCCAACCAAACAAAACAACAACAACAACAACAACTCTTTCACTTGACCTAGAAGGGAAATTCACTTACAAAAAGAGTGCGCTAAATGGACAGCAAGTCAGGTCCAAAGAATTCTGTCACCCTATGTCCCATCCTAGGACCTATAACCTTGGCTTGTGTGGGGTGTAATCTTTCTGCTTTTGAGTCTTGTGATCCTAGCAAGACATAGAAATGAATATCAGGAAAAATTACTGAAAAAGCATAACAGTAACAGTAAAGGATAAAGATCATATAGCAATCAATTTGAATGCATGATATTGATATTTTTTGAGGAGGCAGCACAACAATGAGCTCTGTAAGTGTTAGATCATTTGTTTTGTTTCCCCTTACAAGTGTCTGAAGCTTTTTTATGATTTTAGGAGGACTTCGTGAAATATGTTTGTGATCAATGTTTTGGTGTTCAGGAAAATTTAGTTTGCTAAAATGATAGAGAACTATTTATTGTTTATGAGATTCGAAAGGTTAATAATTACAACATCAAATTAAATACTGATAATTGTGAGTATTCTTCATCCACAAACCCCTGAGCAGTGAAGGCCCTAGGGCTATCTTTGAGCATGTATCTTGCTCAGTTTGAGCAAGCAGTTGAGTTTGAAGAAACCCCCTGTATGCACCTGATGGTAACCATGATGTCCTGGTTTTCAAAGGACACTGTCACTCGCTACTCAGAGCTGTACCATGACTTCACCACTACCCAAGTGGGAATGCACGACCTTGTCCGGAGCTTCCGGCAGACCATGGACCAATACAGCCGGGAGCCTGGGAGATACAGGTAACCACAGGATCTGCATGGTTCTCTGAAGATGCAGCATGTGATCTGCAGATGATTCCTCCCAACCAGCCACACTCAGAGGTCCAGGTTACAGTTTATAAACCTGAATACTTATGATTTATTACCACTCAGTGTTGCCAGGGTCTGATATATCCTTGTCTGCCGCTTCATTTTGCTGATTTTCAGGTTCTGCTTTTAGGGAATGTTGCTAATCACAGCACTTACTTGTCAGGAGTTCTGTGAAAAGTAATTAATAGAGACTATTTTAATTAAATGTTAGTCATGAACTATTATTATCACTATTATTGGGCTTATCGGTCCTTGTTTGGTGCGACTCCAAAGGTTTCAGCTAAACTGTCAGTAGATCACGGTAGTTAGGAGGACAGCTCTGCAGTCAGTGGGACTGTGATGAGTCCTACATAGCTGTGTGACCTGGAGCTGGCTAGTTAACCTAAGTCTGTTTTCTCATCAGTAAAAAGGTAATAGTAATAACCACTATATGGGTGTTGTGAGGTTAAATGAGCTTTTATATATGGGGCAGGTATTGATGGGGTCATTTTAGGTGAGAGTATCGTTCCAACCCGCGTTTCTTAGCCGTCTGGCATGACAGCTTTCCATTAAGCCTAGGCCCTTTCCACTAACAATTCACATTTGGACTCCACATCATATAAAAAAGATAGAAGCAGCTGAAAAATCCTTCTCCATCTTCTGACATGTGCTGATGACCTGGAACCCTGCCGACTCTTACAGATTCATGGGGACAGAAGCCTATGCAGAGAGCATCGACAGGACCATGATGTACTATGGGCTGCCATTTATCCAAGAAGCTGATTTCCCTTTCAACAATTACTTTACCACCCTCTATACTCTTTCTGGGAACATTGTGCATGAGGTTATCACATCCTGGATGAAAAACATGCCAGAAGGAAAATGGCCTAATTGGATGGTAAGTCCTGATGCCCAGGGCACCACATGTGCTACTGCACTTGTTGCACAAGGCGCTCTAAAGTGATGTGGACTTTGTCCCTAAGTGACCCTCAACTCTACCTTCCTTGGTGATTGCTTAGTGAGGCCTGTCCCAGCTTCTAGCCAGGCTCTTGTCACTCTGGGAGAGACACTGTCCCTGAATGCTCAATGAGGATTTGTCTATGCTCAGAACTGTCCTAGGCTTTGTTGGGGCCAGATAAAGCCACAGTTCCTCCCTACATCCTTACATTCCCCCTACCTTGGTTGGAAGAAAAAGGATTTCAGAGGTAGAAGTTTCTATAGAAATTCAGGATGGACATAAAAGAGTGACAAAATACCATTTTATGGGGCCGAATGCAGTGCTGCAGGCATTTAAGCCCCAGAGATTCTGAGAAGATTCTCTCGTTTAGGATGGCTAATTGTTCCTGGGCTATGGACCTGTACAATATGTTACTGCAGCTGTAACACAATGGCAATTATTTGATTATCCAAATATAGAAGTGGTACAGTAAAAGTATGGTCTAAAGGATAAAATATGCTACACCTTTCTAGGGCACTTAGTGTGAACAGAGCCAGCAGGACCGGCAGTTGCTCTGGGTGAGCTGTTGAGTGGTGAATGAATGTGAGGGCTGAGGACAAGGTCGTCTACCATCATACTGTGTAAACACTGTACACTTAGGCTACATTAAATTTATAATGAAATTCCCTTTTCCAATAATAACCTTAGCTTATTCCAAATTCTTTAAAAGCTTTTAAGTATTTTTAAACCTTTTGATTCTTTGTAGTTACCCTTAGCTTAAAACATATCTACATTACATGGTACTGCAAAATTTTTTCTTTACATTCTTATTCTATATTCTATTCTTTTTAAAATTTCACTTTTATTTTTAAACTTTTAAAACCTTGTTAAAAGCTAAGATGCAAGCATACACATTAACCTGATATCACACTGGGACAGGATAATCAATATTGTCCTCTGCCTTCATACCTTGTCCTACTGGACAATCATCAGGGCCAATGACACATGTGGAATTGTCATCTCCTATGATAACAATGCCTTCCTCTGGAATCTTTCCTAAAAGAGCTGCCTGAAGTGTTTTACTTCATGTTTTTTTCATCATAGATTTGCTTCTAAGCAGATAAGGTACCATGAACATAATATAGTATATATACACACACATTTATTTTTATTCATTCATTCATTCATTTATTCTTGGGGCACTGGGGATTGGGGCCTCTGCACTGAGCTACATCTCCAGGCCCTTTTATTTTTGAGGCAAGTTCTCACTAAATTGCCCAGGTGGAACTCACTTGTGATCCTCCTGCCTCAGCTCCCCAAGTGCTGGGATTACAGGCACATGCCACTGTGCCTAGTATCATTCAGCTTTATTTTTGAAAACCTTTATGTTGAGGTCCAAACTTTTTAAGGAGCTTGTCTGCAAAGCTTCTGCCAAACCCTCCACTGTGAATTTTCTTGAGGGTTCTTTCCCTCTTTTCCTCCAGCAGTTCCCTTTTCTCTTTTCTTTAGCTATCTGTTCCTGTTCCAGTCCCATTATAAACTTAGAATTTTATTTTTGGATTGTTCATTATTAGTGTATAGAAATATACTAGTTTTGTATATTGATCTTGTATCCTACAACACTGCTGAACTTGTTTAGTTTCTAGTAGTTTATTATGGATTATCAAGGATTATTTTCTGCCTTTTTAAAAATTGTGTTAAAATACACAGAAAGTAAAGTTTACCGTTTTGGCATTAAATACCAATTATTACCACAGTGTTGTCCAATTATTACCACTATCCATTTCCAGAACTCTTTCATTATTTCATACAGAAAAGTTATACTCATCCAACAATATCTTTTTTTTTGTTTTTGAGACAGAGTCTTGCTAGGTTGCCCAGGCTGGCCTCGAACTCATGGCAATCCTCCTGCCTCAATATCTCAGTATCCCGAGTGCTGGGACTACAAGGATGCACCACCATGGCTGGCAAACAATAATATCTTATTTCCACTCCTATGCCTTGTGTCCTCCATTCTATTTTTGTCTATAAATTTGCTTATCTTAAGTACCTCATTTAAGTAGAATCACACAGTTATTTGTCCTTTTGTGACTGGTTTATTTCACTTAGCCTACATAATGTTTTCAAAGTTTTTTCATATTATAGCATGTATAAGAACTTCATTCCTTTTTATGGTGAGTAATATTCAATTTTATGTGTATACCAGATTTTGTTGATCTATTGATATCTTGGTGGACATTTGGGATATTTCCTCCTTTTGGCTATTGGAATAATGTTATTAACATTTCATGAACAAGTATCTACTTGAGTCCCTCTTTTTGATTCTTTTGGATATTTACCTAGGTGTGGAATTGCTGGATCATATAGTATGTTCGTGTTTTGCTTTTTTTTTGAGAAATTGCCAAACTGTTTCCCACTGGCTCCTCCATGTTACACTCTCACCAGCAATGTATGGGTTCTAATTTCTCCACACCCTCACCAACATTTATTATTGATTCAGTGATTAATTTGGTACTAGGGATTGACAGGGCCCATGCACTGAGCTATAGCCCCAGTCCTTCTAACTTATTTTTATTTTGAGACAAAGTCTTGTTAAGTTGCCCAGGCTGTGGTAAAACTTGAGATTCTCCTGCCTCAGCCACCCAGAGTGCTGGGATTACAGAAGTGCATCACCATGCTCCACTTTACTTTCTATTTTTGGGGAAAAAAATCATACCCATCATAGCAGGTGTAAGCAGTATTTCTCTTTTATTACTAAAGAATAGTTTTACTGGATATAGATATTGGTTGAGTTTTTTCTTTCTTTCATTCACCTCTGGCTTCCATGATTTTTGCTGAAATTCAGTTGCTGATGTTGTTGTGGCTTCCATGTGTGTGATGTGCTGATTTTCCCTTGCTGCCTTCAGTATTCTTTCTGTGCCGTTTGACAGTTTACTGTTATGTTTAGGCGGAACCTTTATTTTTTCCTACTTGAGTCCAATGATTGGGTTTGTGGATTTGCAGATTTTCACCAAATTTGGGAAGTTGTTCATTATTCTTTCAAACATTCTTTTTATCCATTTCTCTCTCTCTTCTCCTTTGGGACTTCCTTGATGTACATGTTGGTATGCACCATGGTGTCCCACAGATCTCTAAGACACTGCTCATTTTTCTTCATTCTTTTCTTTTTGGTTCTCAGTCTAGTGCTCTCAATTGACCTATCTTCATGTTTTGATTCCTTTGTCATCTGTCAAACCCTCTAGGGGATTTTTCATTTCTGTTATTGTGCTTTTCAACTCCAAAACTTCTATTTGTTCCCCCCATCATTTCTATTGAAAAGACATTTCTGTTTGATGACACCGTTCTCACACCATCTTTAAATTCCTTAAACATAGCTTAGTTATTTGAACACAAATATAATCACTGATTTAAAGTTTTTGTCCAATAAGTCTAATGTTTGGTTTTCCTCAGCAACATCTTCTGTTGTCTGCCACCTCCCCAGTGTATGGGCCATATTTTTGTTTCCTAAAATGTTGAAAACTGGACATTTTAAGTAGTATAGGGCAATTCTGGAAATCACAATTTTCCCTCCTTGGCATTTGTTCTTGTTACTGCTTTTCTTCTTTACTTAGATTTGTAAAGTCTGCATTCTTTGTTCTGTGTGGTCAGGGAGGTCTGTGCTTTGTCAGCTAATGACTGTAGAGCCTCCTTAGATGCCCTGAGGAGATGAGTTTCTGCCATTGCTGAAGGGCTTTGTGTTTGTTGGGGCATCCTTTCAATGCTTTGCTAGTCAGTTTACAACTTAGTCACTTTACTTTCTGCTTGCTCAGAGCCTCGTTAGCCAGAGGTGACAGATGACAGCCTTCTCAGGTCTTCCCTGGACATCTGTACAGCCCTTGTCATGCACACAGTCCTGCACATAAATGTAGCCTTCTAGATTCCCAGGAATATACTGGAACTTTTGAAAGCTTTTCACAAACATTTCATTTCCCAGCTTTTTCTTGTTTTTGTTGTTGTTGTTTTGCCTCTTGTTAATCTTACCACTATAGGTGGGTCTAACTTTGAACTATTTTCAACAAATGTTCTGGGCTGTTGCTATTTACACAGAGTTGGTTCTGTGTCAGATTAGATTTTAAAGAAAATACTCAACCAAAAGGAGCTGCCAGAAAATTCACAGTGACAATTCTGCATAGAGGGAGCTTCTAGTGAACGTTAAACCCATTCTGTTTTCCAGTAGCTGCTAGACTTCTGGCTTTTAGCTATTGAACTTGTGAGACTTTTGGTTTTCAAGGCTGTCAGGGAGCTGAGGAGATGGTTATGTGATCAGGGGCAGATAAAATACTATAAAACTCACTGTTCTGAGATTCAGAACAGTGTAATTGTGAATTCATCTTGGATTCTGGCAGCCTTTAGTTAATTTTGAGTTATAAAAATATACATTTTTAACAGTTTTCATGGCATTCACCTTGCTTTTATGGAAGTTTTCATTCTGCCATTCTGAAAGTGCCCCCTGTGTCACAAATTTTGCAATCTAGTTTTAGCAACTAAGAAAGTAGGCCCAGTTTTCATTGCTGTGAACTACAGAAATATTTCTGGATTTTAATTCTGAAAGAAAGAGTTCTATGTCTAAAAGGCTTGAGAAATTATAGGGTTTATTATCAAATTTGAAGATGAAAGAACAAAAGGATGGAGGCAAAACCTGATCTAATTTTCTGGCCATAAAATTAGGAAAGTATCTTACAATGGCTTATAAAGATATGATTATGACAATTATTTCAGTCCATCTCAGGAAGCAACCTTTTTCTTGAATTGTAGTAATCAAGTTTGCCTTCTAAGACTCATGTTCAAAGGCTGGTTCTTAGCCACATGTGGTGGTGCACAGCTCTAATCCCAGCTTTTTGTAGGGCTGATGAAGGAGGGTCATGGGTTCAAAGCTACTCTGGCCTACTGAGACCTCATCTCACATTAAAGAATAAAAAGATGGGCCGGGGATTTAGCTCAGTGGTTCTGCCGCCTGCCTTGCAAGCGGGAAGTCCCGAGTTTGATCCCCAGTACCCAAAAAAAAAAAAAAAAGAATAAAAAGGCCTGGGGGTACAGCTCAAAGGTAGAGTGCTCATGGGTGCCACCCCCAGTACTATTAAAAAAAAAGCTGGCTCTCTCTCAGACTATTATACTATGACTTGAATAAATGATGCAGTGTTTCAGAGCTTGTTTCTTCCCTTGTAAAAAGGACATAACACTGTACTTGGTAGCACTGTAGTGGTTGGGAAAATAAGATATAGGTGTGAAAGTGCTATCCTCAGGATATGCACATGAAAACTGAGTTGTGGTATTATGGAAAGAGGTGTCAGGTGCTTTCAATAAACTAAGGAGTAGATGGCATAATATGTAGTTATAGCAATATATATATATATAATATATAACACCTTTAAAAACTTCCTTTTTATGTAAATTTCTTCATAAAAGTTGCTTTACCTTCAAAATGTTCTGAGTAGTTCAAGTCAATAAAAGAAGGGACATAACAGGAGTGCTTCTCCCACCTCTGCCCTTCCCACTTTGTTCTTTGTCTGGTTCTTCATTGAGGAAACATTTTTGTTTCCTTTCCTGTCAGTAGTCTCTTATCTGAGTGTAAGAAAATATGAACATACACCCTGTGCAGCTTATCTCCTATGCAATACCACTGTGAGTTCTCTTGACAAATTGTTTTGATCATCAGTGGGCAAATGGTAAACAGATCAACTCCACAGCAAGCAATAGGCTCAGGACCCAAATCCAGGCTTGCCAATGCCACCAATCCCACAGCTACTCTTTGGCTTGGCGAACTTTCTGCAAAATACAGCAAATCTTCCAGAAAACCATAAATACTACTGTTTTTTCAAATTTCTGCCTTTCAGACTGGTGGACCAGACAATACTCGGCTGACCTCTCGTTTGGGGAACCAATATGTCAACACCATGAACATGCTGCTTTTTACACTCCCTGGAACTCCTATCACTTACTATGGAGAAGAAATAGGGATGCAAGATATTTTAGCCACAAATCTCGAAGAAAGCTATGATACTGTAAGTGTAATCGACTTAACCATGCACCACAGCTGGAAAATCAAGTACGGGTAATACCTCGGGGTTCAAGAACATTTCCGTTCTTGAACAGTTTGGTTTGCAAACAGGTGTTTGGCAAAATTTTGCTTGTTTGAGGGCTCCACACTGGGTGAAGAACATGACTGTGGCCATCTTGCTTAGAATTTTGGAATGAATTGTTTGTGAACCAAGGCACTTGATTTTTTTGCCTTTTTTGTGTGTGATATTCTAGATTGAACCTGAACATTCAAGTGAGTTTTTGAGTCTTGATATGATGGTAAGTTTCCCAGGCTGGGCTCAAACTTTTGATCCTCCTGCCCCAGCCTCCCAGAGTGCTGGGATTACAGGTGTGCACCACCATGCCCAGCTGCTTCTTTCTTACAGTTATATAGTAAGACCAGCTTTCTTAGTGGTTGGGAGTTTATTAAAAATACTGCCAAGCCACACAACTGAACTTCATGAGCAGATCCAAAGATTCTGCATTTTAAATGTTTTCTGATTCTTAGGCACACTTAAATTTAAGAACAGTGCTTTTGGAGTATTATTCATTGATCTTTGCCCAAAACATGGAAAATAACACTTTTTAGTTTTTATTTAACCTGCTAGATTTCAGGTGACCCCTATGAACACAGCACAAGGACTGTTCCTTTTATTTTATCAAGTGTAATCCAGAGCCCATGTAGAGTGGCGTCTATTCGGCTTTTGTTCGAGCCAGGGCTCTCACAATTGCATGGCTGGGTAGATGGCTGATCTTGAACCTTTAATTTGGATGATTAGCTCTCAATTGCATGGGACCTAATTTCCCAAATATTTGGTTAAGGTGAACCTTTTTCTCTATCAGCTATTTGTGTGTGAGCACTCATGTGGAATAACCGCACTGGAAAAATGGATAGGGCAGAATTCAGACTCACCGGTACCTGGCAATGTTCCTGAGTTTACCAGCACTGCATCCCAATGGAGTGTAGTAGCATGAATTGGTAATGGCACATTTTGAAATGTCACATTACTCATTTTTGGGGAGAAGCAGGAAAAACAACAATTGTATTATAATTCAGTTAAACCCAAGATGCTATTAGCCATTTTCCACTAAAGTACAAAACTGGTTTGTGCATTGAATGTCAATCCTTCTCAAGATGATTGCTAATGAATACGAGCATTAGCTAAGAACTACAGGGAACTAAACAATTATGAAGTAAATAATGAAGGAGCAAAATGTCTTTCACTTTTAATAACCTGACAATTGTTTTCTCTTTCTGGTCTTTTGACATAGAGTACTCTTCTTTCAAAGTCACCGATGCAGTGGGATAACAGCTCCAATGCCGGGTTTTCTGAAGGCAATCACACTTGGTTACCCACCAATTCAGATTATCACATTGTCAATGTTGACGTAAGTATCAATGGCAATTTTATGTGACTTTAGAAACAGGAAATGAGTTTCTGGAATGGACACATACCCTAAGTGTGTCTAAACCTTAACCGATGATGTTCTTTAAATCCATCACAGACCTCCCTTGTAGTTCTCAATTTGTAGGAAGTTGCAAATCATGCTTCTGTGCAAATGCAAACTGGCACATAAGTTTGCCATTTGAAAAATTATTAATATACAACTCTTCATTGGAATGACTTTTACTGAGACCTCTGAGGTATCAGACAATTTATATTGTAAATTCTGTCAGGCAGCCCAGCTACCTTTTCTTCCCCTCAAAAGGCAGAAGTAAGGCAGGTGGATAGGCAGGCAGATTAATCACTGAGTCTAGGTTAACATGGATTTGAGGGCAAGGCTCTTTTCTTGAAATGCAAGACAGCACTAAAGTAGCTATTCTAGAAAAACATACCCTTTGGCTTTTGCCTATACTTTTCTTCTGTCCTAATAGTGATCAAGAACTAGTGTTACATATTAGTGAAAATTTCAAAGGAAAACAATCTAAATCAATTTAGGGGAAGAGAATTGGTCTGCATTGTATGCGGATGCCTAACACATTTATAATCTTCCAGTCCAATTGTCTAAGTAGTCTGAAGAACTCCCCAGGGTTATTCTGATACCACTCTCCTGTTCCCACAAATCCCCCACTCCAAGCACTGTGGATTCTTGCATAGCTTTTATATTGCCCTAAATAAAAACTTAAGGATAGCCACCTGGTGTAGTGATGTACCCCTGTATCTCACCTACTGGTAAGGCTGAGGCAGGAGCATTTCAAGTTTGAGGCCAGCCTGGGCAACTTAGCAAACCATTTTCTCAAAATAAAAATAAATAAAAAGGGCTGGAGATGTACCTCAGTGCTCCTTGGGGTCAATCTCCTATACTGCAAACAAAATAAAACACAACATAATAGCAATCAACCAATCAAAAAATCCAGTTGAAAACAACACAGTATACACACACACTACACACACGTATGTGTGTAGTGTGTGTATATATATATATGTATTTTTTTTTCCTTCACTGAGTTACATCTACAGCCTTTTAAAATTTTGAGACAGGGTCTCACTGAGTTACTCAGGCTGGGCTTGAATTTACAATCCTTCCTCCGGCCTCAGTGTCACAAATTTGGTACAGTATTACAGGCATGCCCCACCATGAGCAGCTTAATTTTTGATGCACAATATGAAACAATGTACTCTAGAAAATCTTAGTGACTTATTTCTATATGGGAAGTGGTGGAGGGGGGTAGGTGGAGAAAGAGAATGTGTATGCAGACAGGCTAACATTCATCTTGTACAGGGATGGAAAAAGAGTAACTCTAGACTTGAGCTGTCTAGTACCCTTTAACCGTGATGACTGTTAAAAGCGAACAACAGAAACCTCAGTTCCTGTGTCACACTAACATTCTGGGCACTCCTTAGCTAGTGGCTGCCATTTTGGATAGCATAGAGTATTTGTAGCACTGTAGAAGGTTCTGTTGGGCAGCATTGTTCTTGATGTTGACAAAAATTGATATTAAAAGGTCATTATAACTTTAAGGGTAACCCAGCAGAAGGGCAGATATAGTTTCAAAGAACATTAGAAGGAAAAAATTATATAAACAATTGACCCAATAAAAGGCTTTTAAAAAGGCAAAGAACCCAAATAACAAAACTATCAATCTAAGATAAAGTGAGAAATTCGAGATTATGTCTGCACATAAGGTAATCCCAAAGATGAGGTTAAATTCATGTGTTAAAAGACAAAAATAGGTAAGAAGACAAAATCCAGACATAAGAGACAAAGCTATAGCAAAGGAACCAAACTAGTAAAGATATAGGAGGCAAAGAGTAACAAAAAAAAGCTTGGTGCTTAGCCATCAGAACAAAAAATACGTACTTTTTGACCTAGTCATCATATTCTAGATATCTGTATCCAGGAATATTTGCACATGTACAAAATGATATATACGCATGGATCTTGACAGCAGCATTAGTAGTAATAGACTCTAAAAATGATTTCAACATTTTATCAATGGCAAACCAGGTCAATCAATTATGGGGCTAGAATGTAGCTTTTAAAAAGAATGAGTATATGAGAATAGCTGAACTGATACGAGACCATTTCTCACATGTATTAATAAAAAACAGAACGGAATGGAAACATGCCACCATTTGTGTAAAGAAAAATATGTCTACCTGAGTTTGCAGAGGCCAAAAATTATATGACACACGAAAATGAGAGAACAGAAAAAGTGACACTATCTCAGGAAGGGGAACTGGAAAGCTAAGGAATAGCTGAAGAAAACCTTTTTCACTGTATGTCATCTTCTTGCAACTGAATTTGTACTATGTGGATGCCTGTCCTAGTAAAAAAAAAACGGAGTGATAAAAAGCAAGCTTGGAAATTTTTAATAGCAGACAAAATAGAATTCAGTATGAAAAGCATTATATGAGGCAAAGGCAATTTTTAAAATTTGAAAAAAAGAATAGCTCACTAAAATCATGAATCTTTATGCGTGTTACAATAGCTTCAAAATATATAAAACAAGTACTCTGAGAAATGCAAAGAGAAACTGACAAATTCATAATTACAAGGTCTTGAGACAAAAATAACAGCTAACACTGAGCACTCTGCATGTGGCTGGCACTGTACTATGCACTTTTCATGCATTACCTAAGCTACAGAAAATGCTGGTAGTAACTCTGACAAGTCATACACACGTACCATAAATATTTTTGTACCCGATAAACAGAATATACTTTTTTCAAACACCTATGAGATATTCATTGAACACACATATTAAGCATCCACCCCCAAAGAACGGTAACAACAATAACCACTACCATAGCAAAAAAAGTTGGCAAGAGTACAGTGAAATGAACATTATTTTTGATTTGGCAACAGGTCTTTTGAAGAATAATTTGGCATTATGTATCAAAAGTCCATACTCCTTTACATAATAATTACCTTTTTGATAATCTATCCTTAAATAAATAATACAAAATATGGGAAGGAGGAATAAAGGGAACGTTAGGTATGGTGTAACTAGTTCACAGAATATTCACCATAAAATAACATTTATGAGGACTTTAACAGGAAAATGTGTGAAAGGTTCAAGGAAAAAAAGCAAGAAAAATACATTAACTTCTATATGTTGTATATAGCTGTAAAATAAACCTAAATCTTTAATGGCCATATCCTTTTATGGTAAAAGCAACCCCTGCAATTTCTATTTTTCACTTTAAGCAGCTTTGTATCTTCTTTTGAAACTTTCTGTTCCATCATTAGCCATGCAAGACATACATGTCTGCTGCAGCCTACACATCACTCTACAAAAGAGAACACATAGGGCCAAATGCATCAGAAGTTCCTAGGGTCCACTGCCAGGTGGCTTTTTTCTTCCATGCATTTTGCAACTACAATATAGCATAGTAATGTTACTTAGGTAAGGTAAATGTTCTTTAACTTGGGTGTGAACACTTGTTTCGGAATTTCAACAGTGGAGTCGAATTTGGTGTCTGCAGAGTCTAGGATGTAGCTGAGGACTGCACACTGCAAGGACTCTCAGACAAGGTGCACAGCTGAGCCTGCAATTTCTATCAGTTTTTATGTAAACTATTCCATCTACTTATTAATGCATAAAATTTGGCAGTTATTTTCAGGGGCAAAATAGAAGCAGTTTTGGGGTGGATAATCCCTTCATACTAAAATATTTTTTAAAAAATCTTTGGAATCAAACATTTATGTAAATATTCTTTTGAAAAAACAGGTCCAAAAGACTCAGCCTAGTTCAACTTTGAAACTGTATCAAGATTTAGGTCTACTTCATGCCAATGAGCTGCTCCTCAACAGGGGCTGGTTTTGCCTTTTGAGCAATAACAGCCACTATGTTGTGTACACAAGGGAACTGGATGGCATTGACAGAGTCTTTCTGATGGTTCTGAATTTTGGAGACTCAACACTGCTAAATCTACAGGAAATGAATTTAGGTCTTCCTACAAAACTGAGAGTAAGACTGAGTACCAATCCTGCCTCCCAACACAGTGAAGTTGACACGTCTGGCATTTCTCTGGAGGAGGGAGAAGGATTAATCCTTGAATACAACACGAAGAATCTCCTTCATCAGCAAACAGCATTCAGAGACAAATGTTTTATTTCCAATCGGGCCTGCTACTCCAGTGCCTTCAACATATTGTACAGTGTGTGCTAAGGACCTCTATGAAAGACATGGTGACCCTGGCACTCCTAACTAACTTCACATATAGCACGCTGCTGGGTAAACGTTATGAATAGTCACTAATTCCTCACTATTTCTGGCATTTAAATGTAACTGCATTAGGAAAGGTTCTTAGATGTTTAAAATAATAATAAAATGTTTAAAAGAAAACTGTTGCTTGGAGGAACTTGTAATGTAAATATTAGATAACATCAAAAAGATGATCAAAACACCACAGGACCCAAGATTACTCAAAAACTATACATTTCAATTTGAAGAATGTTCTTTCTCCTTAAAATGCAGTCACAGAAACTAGATGACTCACTGCCACAGTGACTAAAAATATTCACTAGCAAAGAGGAAGGACACTGACTGTAAACTGTTCAAAGAAAACCTTAGTACAATAGACAAAGTTTGGACTGGAGGGAGCCCTGGCACCCTCCTTGCCCCTGTCCATGTCCTTCCAAGGAGACAATCTGAAAACTCCCCAGGTTAAGGGCATGTGCTTCAGTGGAAGAGAACAGGACAAGCGAGTGAGATGCAGACTAGGTACAACTTGGATGGATAAGCAACTTTAAAGAAATTCTCTAATAACTTAAAATCTCACTTTTGTTAACCCAACTGGAAATAAGACTATGGAGTATTTCAGTGCATCTCCAAATCCCGGCTGAATGTAGCATTTCAGAATTTTAGATATTTCTTAAGATCCTCAAAAACACTGGTGCTGTCAAGTCCAAGTTCTTCATACAGGAATTTAATTTGAGCTGTAATCTAAAAGAAACACATTTTAAAATTAGATAGAAGGACTCTGTGGTATAATTTCAGTGTTTTAATTTTTTCACCTAACCCTGAAGTCAGTAGTTTATGGTAGGAGTTATTTTTATTTGGCACAAAAGCAGAAGGCTTCCAATAATGAAGATTTCTTTTTTTAATAGTGCTCCCTTATCAAGTATCCTTGACTGACTCTGTTGGGTCACTTCCCTTTCAGCATTGACATTTGTCAAAGAGTGGTATCGTACACCCTGCTACAACCATGGAAAAAGCTGAACACAATTCCATCTCTACTTGGGTAGGAGGGGACGGGGGAAGGGGATGACAACATACCTTTTTGTGAGAATCCTCAATCACATGATTTCCTCCAGGCTGAATATCTAAAATAACATTAGGGTTCTGATATCCTGAAAGAGGTAAATTAAAAAAACTCAGAGGTCTTTTTAAAGACTGAGTCCCATTTCTTCTCTGTTCTTTTTAATACCCTATTAAAAAATGTAGCAAATGAACAAGGGCAAAACCACCACCAACAACAACAACAAAGAGAGGGAAGGAGGGGCAGGCAGCACAAGATGGGAAAGCCAGAGGAGGACACTGGACCGAGGGGCTGTGGCATCACAAGAAGTTTGTGTCCTAGGAGGGAGGCGTTCCACTCAGGTGTGGAACCTGAGTCCTGTGCTCTGGAAACACCATGTATACCACTGGGTGGGAATAATAAGCAGAGCTGGGTACAGGCAGACTCTGATGGTAGGTGGTTCCCTCTTCCTGAACTCAAAGAGTATCTTGGCTTGCACTTTCAAGGGAAAAAGGAAGAGTTCTTATCTAATGAAAATTTCTAAAAGAAATTAATGCAAATAGTTTAGACACTTAAGTTCCAAAGCAAAAACCTAGAATCTTTTAGAGAGTCCCACAAATGTCTCAGTAAGTATTGTTAAATGAATGAATAACTGTTTGAGAGTACATCTCTTAAGTTACAGTTGATATTTAAATTTACATTTTTGTAACCTCTCAAAAGAAGTGACACAGTTATAGGTGTCTAGTTGTTAACTGGGTAGTCAACATTGGAAAACAAGTGTAAGTCTTAAATCATGGGTGGATGACTTGGTCTGAGCATGAACTGTATGGCTCTGAGCAGTATGTTGAGGGCTCAGTCTGTCAGCCATGTTCCCTGCATACTGATGGCCTCCTACCTTCGCCTGCGATCTTAGAATACTCCATGACAGCTTCCTTGAGCTTCTCTGTGTAGTTCACAATTCCTTTCAGAGGAACGCGTTCATCGTTTTCATAAGCTGTGATGTGAACTGAAGGATAATGCTAAAAGAAAAAGTTCACTTCTTACAGTCTCTTCTACAAAATCATGGAAAATAATCAACTCCAATTCCTCCCTCTACATGCTAGAAGTTTTTTTCTCATTGGATATTCTTGAATGAACCTCAGTATTACGGGACCAGACTACTTGTTATGTGGAATAGCCTTTTCTTGTCTAGAGAGATGGTACTTAATCTAATCTAGTAGTTAATGGTCAGAAACTATTGCCCTGAGGTTTTAATGGGAAACAGACCTGCAGCATAGACAGAGGTGGTGCTGAAAGATGTGTGGGCACCACAGGCAGAAACATCTGCAAAGCCCTGCTAACTCCCACCTCAGTTCAGGTAAGTATCCCTCTGCTTATCTTTTTTATCACTTCAGGATAGTGTGTTGTAATTGTCTTTTACTACCTGAGGTTTAATGTTTTCACAGGGACAGTAATGTTTTATGTAGCTCTTGTGTTTTTCATCAGATGAAGGATTTCCCCATTCTTCTAATTCTTCTAATGTCAGAGGAAGAGTAGTGTCCATCATGGTATTGAGAACATCCAAGAAAGGTGCCTAATAAAAAAAAGCCAAAGAAACTTGTATTTCAACCAAGAAGTTGGTAAGATAAGCTTCAGAAAAATGTTACAGATACACGTAGTGATATGAGAGGATACAGCTCAAGAAGCCACGTGGATTCCAAGAGCTAGACTAGATACTCAGTGTTAACCACAGCCAGTGATGTACAGCTGGCTTTTTAATGTGTTCAGCTCCTTAAATGACATATCTTCTAATTTCACAATTTTTGTTTTTAGTTTGGTCCCTTTTACATATAGTTTTTCTTATGTAAAATTAATAAACATTATCATTTCACACTTATTAGGATGGCTACTATATTAAAAAACAAAAACCAAAAAATATCAAGTGTTGGTGATTCTCTTGTAAGGAGAAACTGGATTCCATATGCACTGCTGAAGTGCAAACGGTGCAACCACTGTGGGAAAGACACGGTGGCTCCTCAACAAAATTAAACTTAGGTTCACCTTGAGATTCACAATTTCACTTTGTACATACTCAAAGGTACTGCAAGTAGGGTCTTGGAGACTCATTCTCAGCAACATTGTTAGGAGCCAAAAGATGGAAACAATCCAAGTGAATGAATAGGCAACATGTGGTATATACTTACAATGAAGTATTACTCAACTTGAAAAAGGAAATGAGATAATACCTGCTACAATACAGATGAGCCCCAAGGATATAGTTCAAGTGAAATAAGCCAGTGTCAAAAAGAGAAATCCTGAACTGGGAATGGTGGAGCTTATCTGTTATCTCAGCTAATCTAGAGGGGGAGGCAGGAGGATCACAAGTTCCAGGCTAGCGTGGGCACCTCAGCAAGACCCTGTCTCAGCAACAACAATGACAGGCTGTAGAATGCTTGGTTAGGATGCATAAGGCCCTAGGGTCAATCCCCAGTACTAGGAAAAAAGGATAAATTTTGTATGACTCTATCTGGGGGAGGTACCTCGAGTAGTCAAATTTATACAAACAGAAAGCACAGGGATGGTTTCCAGGGGCCAGGGAGAATGGAAATGGAGATTTGTTCCATGGGTACAGCATTTAAATTCAGCAGGATGAATATCGAAGTCTGGAGACTGCACAACAATATGAATGTACTTAGCACTACTGAATCATGCAATTAAAAATGGTTAAGATGATACATTTTATGTTATTTTAACGCAATTAAAAATTTTCAGCCAGGTGTGATGGCATACACTTGTAATCCCAGAACTCTGGGAGGCTGAGACAAGAGGATTCCAAATTTGACTCCACTATGGGCAAGTCAGTGAAACCCTACCTCAAAGTAAAAATTTGTATGTATGATATATTTTTGTTTTTCTGAGACAAGGTCTTGCAATGTGGCTTAGGCTGGCCTTGAACCCACTATGCAGTCCAGGCAGGCCTCAAACGTACTGTGGTCCTTCTGCCTCAGCCTCCCAAGTGCTCAGCTGACAGGCGTGGGCCACCAAAACAAAAAAATTTTAAAAGGGCTGCTACTATAGCTCAGTAAAAGGGCCTGGGTTCAACCCCTACTACCAAAAACAAACAACCAACCAACAACAAAAATTTTAAATGTGAAAAGTCCCCCCAACCTATAAACTCTACTTCACCAGTTAAAATTTTACATTGAAAATAATAATTGCTACTGAAGGAAATCTGGAAACTATCCACAGTAAAAGAAGAAAAACCCATTCATTGGGTCAAAACCAGTGTAGAAATATTTAGCAAAAAGGAGCCTGCTTTTTCATATAGCCTTACATTCTTCAGAGGGCATACTTTGTCTTGTGTTACTGTTAACCAGTTCTGGAGTGGGCATCTGTAGTACATCTTTTTGGCTGCCCAGCATCTGAGCTCCTTTTGTGTGTGGAGAAAATCAACTTTACGAAACAGCCTGCCTCTCCCTACCAAGATACCAGCTGCCAGTCTCTTTCTCAGCTTCTCTGCAGCTTAGGTGCAGCCACACAACCTTAGGTCTACCGAGCAGACACACAGGCTCCCAATGGGAATGGGAAGCTGGTGATTCAAAGAAGCTGACTGTGGAGAATCTGCAAAGGCCATAGCATGACAAAGCCAGTGTCTAGGTGCAGCACTGGAAGCATGCGGCGATCCACACTCCACAGAGCAGTGGTAGCTTTACTGGGCTGTTTCTGTTTTGCTGTGTAGCATTTGACTGGTTCTTAAGGTGTCCATTTTTACCTAATATCCTTTAATAAAAAAACCCCTTTTACTTAAATCAGTCAGGGTTTCTGCACTTGTAATTAAGAATTTTGACTCATGTGTGAATCCCCTATTGTTGGATATTAGGCTGTCTCTAATTCTCCACTATATAAAGCAACCCAGGACAAACACCCTTAGATATACACTTCTGATTATTTCCTTTCTAATTCTAAAGGTCAAGGTTGGTGTTCCATTTTTAAAATACTGTAAATGACTCTGCTATTATCACTGTGGATAGGTTTCTTCCCTTTAAAATTAGCTTTTCCATTTTTAAAAAGTAGATCTTCAGATTACGGCTATTTAATACCTATTTCCTTATTACAAACTCACAGTGTATACCCCTCACCCTCAAGAAACAAAGCAAAACAATTTACTCTTCCCATCTCAGTCATTATTTTCTAGAGTATCTAAACAGGAAGCAGGAGAGCAACAAGACGTAAAACCAACTGCTATAATGTAGCTTTACAATTTTGGATATTAGGAAAACACTATAGAACAATTTCAGAACAAGATACATTTCAATTAAAGTACAGGAAAACTATACCCAAAAAAACATTAAGAATGTAGTATCTAAAAAACCCTGCAGATCTAGGACTAAAAGCTGATGAGCAAGTAGTGTCAAACTGACGAGGAGTCACAATGTAATTTACTCGGGAGTCACAGCATATTCTACCCAACTTCTGGAATGGTAAGGCCTATATGCTTTATCTCTTTCCCACCAACTCTAAACGTTCTGACAAACAGAAAATGCTCAGTGGGAATAGCCATTAATCTTCCAGTGGAAATCCTTAAAAATTAGTAAAATACTGTTGGAATAATAAGGAAACAGTAGATAGTAATAGTAAAACAGTTTTAGAAGTTCTCCTAGAGCTACAATTCTGAACTTAAACTTGAAAGCTTTGTTACAGTCTTATGCTGTGGTAAAAACTGTTACACTTTTTTCTTCCCAGTGCAGCCTATGGCTTCACGCCTTCCCCATTCTGTAAACAGGAGAGACAGAGTATACTCACCTCTAAAGTCACAGCTCTCAGGAGCTCCGGATTAGAATTACACAGTGCTCCCACAAGCACCCCTCCAGCACTGAAAGCAGTCAGGCTTGTTAGACTTGGCTGAGAAAAGCCTTGGCCATGAAGCGTCTTAATGCAAGCCTCTAAGTCAGCAAGGCCATTGAGTTTTTTAGTTAGGCAGCCATCAGTGTGCCACTGGAGGCCTAGCTCACCACCTCCCCTGAAATTAAATGGCAAAAAAGTTTTAGTGGGGAAAAAATGATAATGACGTAGGTAGATGTCGATAAAGTAGCCCTGGAGGCCTGTTTTTGTATGGTCCTCAAGCCAAAAATTGTTTCCCTGTTTTTAAAGGTGGGGAGAAATTACAAGAAGGAATATGGACTGTAAAGCTTAAAATGTTTATTATCTTTTTACTTCAGAAAAATGTTTGCTATCCCCTGATAAAGACAATCAAAAATGAATTCAACCAACATGTCTTGAGTGCCTGCTCACTATTTATCAGGGACTAAGTGCAGACCCTAAAAATACAAATAAGAAAAAATTGCCATGGAGAAGATTTTAAGTTTCCTGAGGGCAAAAACATTAGTAAGTATTGTGGTTGCTGCTCTAATGCAAGTGTATGTGAAGTATTAGAGAAGCTGAGGAAAGACATCCCCCTGCCCATTAGGGATGCAGTGTGTATACATGAACCAGGAGCACTAATGCTTAAGGAGATGATGGGTAAGGTGAGTTGTGAAGGAAGAATACCCATTTCCTGATGGGCAAGGAAAGGGATGGCACCAAGACACAGATGAGACATAGTATGGGCGAGGGCAAGGAGGTGACACAGCATGTCATTTGGAAGGGTGTGGTAACAGATGCTGCTATGGAGATAAGTCAGATTATGAGTACTAGCTGAGGAAGGCAGACTTTGTTCTGGAGATGGGGAGGTAGAGGAGGATTTTAAGGAGAAAACAAAATTGTATTTGTGTCTTGAAAAAGCTAAAATAAAATGGAAGTTAGACTAGAAAAAATAGAGTGCAGCTTAAGAGGCTATTTAAGAAAAAAACCAAACTCAGGAGAATTCAATGGAAATGGTTATCTAAGTGCAGAGACTGATACATTTAAAAATCTTAAAAATTTATCCTTTTGCTCTTTGGATCAACTAATCTGTTAGTGAATCAAATTCCACCTGCACAGGTGGCCGGGGATTTAGCTCAGTGGTGCCTCACCTGCCTGGCAAGCGCAAGGTCGAGTTTGATCCCCAGTACTGCAAAAAAAAAAGAAAAAGAAAAGAGGCTTCTGTTCCCCAGTATATATTGTTATTCTAGATATCTGATACGTGTCACAATGTTCTAGAACTCATATGCCAGGTAAAATATTCTGACTTACCTAACATGGCAGTATGCTAGTATCCATCCATCGTCCACCAAGACCCGCCTCTCAGGTCTGAAATTCATTTTCAAATCCATTCCATAAGCTCCATATACATGTACCAAGAGAGGTTTCTTCTGCAAGTCTTCAGTGTCCGTTTTGTGAAAAATAGTCATTGGCACTAATTTTCCATCCTGGAAATGAATTACCATGCATGTAAAGTCTTTTAAAACAGTTTAACCTGTAATTTAAAACACACAGAAGTGTACTTCCCTCCTATGTTTTACTTATTGATGTTATACGTGAACTTCTTTTAAGACAATACAGTTATGGTCTCCAAATATACACCATTGTGATTGGTTTCAGCTCCCTTGCTCACCCACAGTATCAACCAGAAAACAGCAGCAAGAATGGCTTGAAAACGTTTTATTAAACATGGCTTTTCATAACAGTAAAGTGATTTTAAAAAGACTTCTTCACACAGCTGTAATCCCAGCACTTGGGAAGATTTGCTGTCAGTTTGAGGCCAGCCTGGGCTACACAGAAGTTCCAAGACTGGCCTGCACTACATAGTGAGAACCTGTTTCAAAAAACCAAAAAAACTTCATTACTCAGTATTATTGTAATTTCTTTTATTTTGGGTCAAAGAAAAATACCTACCAAGGCTGGACATCCTAGTATACAATTCCTCCTATGCCTAGGGTAGATACTGACATTTCTCATTTTTGCATGTTTACATATATGCTAAGAAGTTTTGCCAGCTCAATATTCTGCTTTCTAAAGTCACAATTCTCAACCATTCGGACCTGAAATATCTTACCAATTTTACTCATACTCACTCACATCCTTTTCCAAGACCTATTTAATTTTATTTAAAAAATTTTAAAATGGTTCAAGTGCATTTCATAAAATTTAACACTTAAGGGCTGGGGATTTAGCTCAGTGGCACCACACCTGCCTTGCAAGTGCAAGGTCCTAAGTTCAATCCCTGGTACAGAAGGAAAAAAAAGCAAAAAATTTAACACTTACATTGCCTCTAAGTTTAAGTATTTCCCACTGTAGCTAAAACTCATTAATTCCAGCTGCCTGAAACACAGCAGCCTCTAACATAATAAACATAATAAATGCAGACAACACAACTACCTTTTTCATAGAAAATGGGTGAAGTTTGTTCTTACTTTGCTTAAAGAAATTTTTTTAAAAAGCACTAGTTTACATATAAAATTAATATAACCAAATCACCCTAATTTTCCCATTTTCAAAACTTCATTTTGGGGCAATAAAATGACACACCAGAGTGTGTCTAATAGGAAGATATCCTCCTTTCATTTTTATCATACCCAGCTTTTTATAACAGCGAAAGTAAATTTTCACTTTTCAGTAAGATTTATTTTTATAAAACTTGATGTAAACTCATTTCTATAAAACAATCTTGGTCCTTTCATCCCTTGTCACTTCCCCAACCTCAATTACATAATCTGAAAAACCTGCTGGTTGAAACCTTGCGTAAAGCAAGAGGTAGAGACGATTGACAGTTAGTCCTGGGCTGGGCTACATCCCAGAGTTCAGCAGCAGCGCCGGAGGCCTTTGGGAAGGACAGCAGCTGCCATTTAGCAGTGCTTCCACCCTAATGCCTGAAGAACCCTTGGCTCTCCAAGGACTTCATTTAATTTTTCTGTCTGTGTTTGTGGTACAATAATTGCAACATTTTGGTACACTGGTATAATTCTGTTTGTAAAATTAAAACCCAAAAGTATACATTTTGACAACAACAAAATATGGAAGGTGAGAAGAGTAAATGGTTAAGTTATTTTTTTCTAAGAGATGTCGTAAACAGGAAGAAAACCCAGTAATTTAGACTTCATATATTTTGTATTTTGCATTTGTTCTAACAAGTATGTACTGCTTTTGGAATACAAAAGTAGTATTAATATTTGCTTAAAGATATTAAAAGAAAATCAAATAAAAGAAAAAAATTTCATAAGGAAACATAACTCGTGTTGGTAACACTTGAAATTATTAGATACATGATATGCTAAGGTCTTAAAGTTCCTTCAATTCAAGACTATAGTTTATGTATTAGTTTATTCTCTAGTAGTACACATTTGTAAATTCTGTATATTCAGTATACCTGGAATATGGGTATCTGTTATTTCCTTCTCTGTTTCTCATCTCTCTATTCTCCCCACCAATCTCTACACAAATTCAGGGCCTCTGGAGAAAATGTGACTCCATGCCCCTTTTCCAGCTTACAGAGTCATCCTCGAGGCCCTACCTCAGTCAGCACTTTGTCAGAGAAGGCTTTCCTCATCTCTCCAGATTAGGTAAGGCCCCTCTGCCATGCTTCCACTGTAATTGGTTTGTTTTCTTTTGCATCAGTCAGTACACTAGTAATTACTTCAACTTCCGGCATCTTCCCCGATAGATTTAAGCTCCATGAGGGCGAGGACTGTATTAGTCTAGTTCACTCTAGTCAGCTTCTTACCATATCTTCATAATTTGTGCCATACGTGTATATATAACATTGACTATTTACATTTTTATTTAACTTTTAAAATTCAAAAATAAACAACACATGAAATGAAGGGCTTGACAGGCTAGCTGTAAGTCTTCTAATCCATGTTAAAATAAATGCCCGACTAGTCATGGCAAATAAAAAACCCATGTATTATTCCCTAAAATCATTTGGGTCTTATGCTGTGATATAAGGGCTCTATTTGGGAAAGTGGTTCTGATGCAATCACAGCATCTGTACAGTATCTAGCACAGCAGGCTTTTGATCAGTGGGAGCTGAAAGTAGACATTCCAAAGACTTACTTTGCTTTTGGCTTCTAGACGTAAAACACGACTAGTCTTTGTGATTGGGTCTTCATGCCCAGTTTCCTCAAAGAGTTTGCCTTCTGCAAACTTATACGTGTAATATTTTGGGGGTCGTATCGGAGAGCAAAGTTGAAAGGGGCAGTTCTTCGGGTCAGAATTTGTATCCATTATGAATCCACAGGCCCAAGGAGGGAGCTAAAGAAATAAAGTACTTATTTTCACTCTTTATCTATACACAATTAAATACCACTAATTAAGTTTCTGAGTATGGAATGTGGTTTACTTTCTATTAATACTTGATATATCATTTAAGGATTGCTTCATCACAAAAAAGTGTCTTTCTTGGGGCCTGGATTTCGCTCAGTGGTTCCCCCTCCTGCCTCGAAAGCACAAGGTCCTGAGTTGGATCCCCAGTACCAAAAAAAAAGTGTCTTTCAAGTAAGAAATAAAAACAACATTAATGACCAATAAAGTAAGAATCATTATAGGAAGAAGGCTTATCAGGAGTCTAGATTTACACGAAATCTTCTTTAATGTAAGTTTATTTTGGGTATAAATTTGGCTAATAAAATAACAAAATGATAAAGAATAAGGGTAAATGAAATAGTAATTCCAAAACTCAGCCACAGCTTCACGATCTCTGTTCTCACAGAACATAAAATCCCTCACATGTGTGTGTTTTGAATAATTTTCCCACCAGTCCTTAGCCTGCTGCCTGGACAGCCCAGTGATGACAGTTATTATTCCAGGGCTACAAACGGGCTCAGCAGCACTAAAGCATTTACAATTTGTTTCTAACTTTAGCTTCCAGGCTAACCATTGTGCAGAACAAAAACCTTTCCAGGCACATCTACTCTCAGAGACTTACAGCTATTATGCCTAAGATTCTTAACTTTAAGAAAAAAGGAAAGGAATCAAAATTTATTCTCTCAGAGCAGCAGGGTCCAGCTTCAAGCCTTCCACTAACATCCCGCTTACACCTTTTAAAGAACTCTGGTAAGCAGGTTGACAGAGTGTTAGAAGAGGTACCAAGAATCAGAACATTAAAAGAAAATTGCCTTTCTTTTCCTGAGTAATTGTAGAAAGGGCAAATTCCTTAGAAAATCAGAGGTCTTGGCACAGCAACATCACTGGCAGGCATGACTGGAAAGGGGAGGTGGGGGATGTGCACATGAAGAGCACACTATTCAGCCCGAAGCAGTGGCAGCCAAAGACTTCATGTTCAACAAGCACATTTCTTCTAATTAAACCAAAGAATCTATTTTTGCCCAACACTAATAATGAGACCCGTTTGCAATGTCTCTCTGAGTTCCCGACTTATTCTTCTCAGACTGGGGATTATTTTAAACCTGTTAAAAGTAGGTGCCAGAGTGAAAGTACTAGGACAGTTTCCATATGACCCATGTAGTAAGTGTCTTAGCTTTAGGCCAACTGGCTCCAGTAGGTCAAAAAGTCTTTTGGGTATTTTTCTAAAAGGAATGGCACCAAGACTGAAGTTTTATTCACAACCAAAACATTCCAAGGCTGTGGAACTTTTTACTTTATCCAGCTGATGCAGAAATAAGTATTAACTATCTCAAGGATATTATGCACCACATTTCCTACTGAGAGAAGCCTACAGTATATCTGTGATGTATTAATGGACAGCACTCAAAGATAAGCTAGCTGAACAGGCAGACATTTCTTAGATACCAGATAGAAACAGGTTTGGCTCTAGCATTTTACCAGCAAACTACAGTGATTTTATTGAAAGAATGACTAAGACATAACATGCTGAAAGAAAATGAGCCTGTGTATATAGGCTGATAATTCTTCCAAATAAAATCGATGTCAAGCACAGAGTAATCAAAAAACCCCTCAATTTGCTTAAAATAAATATTTTAACCAATTACATAGCTTCTTTTGCCAGGGAAAAGTGCTTCCAGAAAACACTGATATGTTAACTGAGGATAGGAAGCAAGAATAGGAAGAGTTTTACATTTCCATTGCTGAGATTGAGTTTAAAATAATATTTTACTCAAGTGCTCACTAGGCAGAGATGTTACAGACAGAATTACCCTATAACCCACTTACTGCATGGTTAAAGATTTTCTTTGAATACAGCACTGTCTGTGGTTATTAATCAGTGCTATACACTTTCATAAAATGGGTCTAATCTATAAAATTCCCTTTAAGTGGTGCCCAGTATATAATGTAATATCTAACTCCACTTGATGATGACATAACAACATTACATAAGGCATAACACGCCTGAGAAGGGTCATGAAAGGAAGAGACAGGGCATATTGAATAAAGACATCTTTTAATAGGAGTTAAAACAACAGAAATTGAATATATATTTTTGTTTGTTTTCTTGAGGTGCTAGAAACTGAACCTAGGGCCTCATGCATGCTAGGCAAGTGGTCTACCATTGGAGCTAGACCTCTAGCCTAAGAAGTATTTTATTTTTTTATTGCTACATATCCAAGGAGTATTTTAAAAACAGAAATACATGGCTGTGAGCCTTTTCACCAGCCCACTCTGTACTCTGCAGAGCGTACTTCCTCTCAATTTTTTTTCCTATTCTAATTGTAACTTTCCATATCAAGAAAATGAGGGCCCCTTACTCTTTCCTTCTTCATTCACTTGTTAATGCTGCTTTAAAAGTGGGCAATAAGGTTGCCATTCACTAACTTTAGCAGGTTCACTTGTGAAGGCAGATTATTTTACCTAGCAGCCACGGGCAATATCAAATAGCCTGCTAGGCAGACATGCCACTACTGTCACCCCTCTGTGGTGAAGGCCACTGCCACCCCCCTATTCAAAGAAACTAAGGTCAACCCCCTTGGGTAAGAACACTGGCAAAGAGAAGATGGTGTGAATACAAGTATGCTATGGCAGAAACACAGCGGACAAAACTGCTATCCAACTGTAGGCATGGGACGGGAGCAGCACCCAGTGGCTAGGCACTAGAGGCCAAGTTGATCTGAGTTATGGCTGTACCTAAAGTTGTGAAGATATCTGATATTTAGAGACCTGGACAAAGAGAAATATAATGGCACCTAACTCTTTTTCTGAAGTCCATGCTTCAAGGCAGTATTTTAAATCAAACTGCTTGCTGAGTCCTCTAAGCATTCTAAAATAAATCTCTTTAACCTGCTAAAGAGCTAGTTTGCTAAATTCCATTTAAATTATTTTAAAGTACATAATATTATTCAAAATTTGATTTTGTGTGAAGCTAAACTATGTAGGTACTTTAATAATACTGTCTTTTGAAAATCACACATACCTTTAGAGATCGAACTGAATCATCAGCCAGACCAATCACATTAACATAAAGTAGATTGCTGTGCTTCAGGAAGAGAACACAGTGATCCTTAAACATGTCCAAGTCTACAACTTTGGTATTTCTCTTCATTGTGAAAAATAAATCCCAATTCATAATAGCAGGGGTATCAGCTGCTGTTCTCATTAGCTGTGTGGGACAAAGTCAGAGCTAGGTAACAAAACACAAAGGCTACAGCATCTACAGATGAAAACACTGAAAACCAGACCACACTTGTCACTTTTTAATGAAGAGTGGAAGGAATTAGCTCTGCATCCAGGAAGAAGTGTGAATATCACCATGTAAGACAAGGCTGGCCTGCTGGGTGGTGACACAGTATGGCCCAGTGCTTAGCTGACAGACAACCAAGGGACATTCGAGGAAGGGCAACGATAGCCAGCAGACTAGGATACATTCATCAGTGAATCTAGTGGAAATAAATCCAAATCAGCAACTCACAAAATTATGAGTTTGCTCCTTTAAGCCACTAAGATTGGTTTTGATAACATAATCAGGATAGAATATGTGTCATTTACCAATCTCTAAGGCACAATCAAAACAGAGGCATTAGCTTCAAGGAAAAAGAAATGCAATTGGTAATGTACAGGAAGGCGGCAAAAATTTCCATACTTCAACAAAGCCTACAAAATAATTACGTCTTAAGAGCAAGAAATGTTGTTGAAGGAAGTGAGACACCTCTTGACAGTACAAATGGAGACAAGCAGAATCTAGAATTACCTTGAATTCTGTAGGCTCTCCAACGTTAGTAAGAATGTATAATTCATCATCTCTGTGTTCAACATAGTAGAGGACCCCGTGTATTCGCTTCTGAATAAGTACTGGTGGGTCCCAAGGGCTCAGGCCATCTATTAACCACACTTCAGAAGTGGTCTTGTTCATAATATTTAGGGTGAGAAAACGACTATCTTTTGTAAGATAAAGGAAAACAAAAAAGCTAGAGGAAGAGAGATAGAAATGAGATTTCAGTAAATTTTAAATGTATGCTTCTTTATTAACACAATATTTCACAGATGAAAGACATGCTAATTTATAATAGTCAGAAAATTTAAAAATTCCTTAGTAAATACTCCTTCTGCATTTTAAATTGGCTATTATTTTTCTCACTATCCAGAGGCATTAGGAATAATTTTTTCTAAAGTTGTATGATAAATATTTTTCAAACAGAGAAACTGAAAGAACTGTAAAGCTAACACCAATATTCCCAGCAGTAGATGCGATCACCTATCCGTTTATCTATTGATCCATCTTACTCTTCGTTAGTTTGTGACGCCTCTTTTATCATTGTTTTCATACATAAGGTCTGTCTCAGAGTTATACACTCCAGTCCGCATTATTTGTCTGTCAATTTGTGGGTTTTTTTTTTCTTTTGGTACCGGGGATTGAACTCATGACCTTGTGCTTGCAAGCCAGGCATGGTGTCACTGAGCTAAATCCCCAGTCCCTTGTTTGTCAATTTGTATTATTCTACTGTTGTAGCATCATATGCTTTATACATGACTGTAGCACAAGTCTCCTACCCCGACTTTGCTCTTTATCTTCAACAATTTCATCTTTTTTGTTTGTTCTGTGATGATACATTAAGAGATAAATCACTTGGAAGATATGCAGTTATGGGGAAGTGAGAACACAAGTGGTTCTGGACTAAAATATTTCTTAGAAAAAGACAAGGCACATAAAGAAGTAGAGCCCAATCCCTTTTTCCATTTACCTCTACTGGTATATATTTATTTCTGCTTCTGGGGATTGAAACTGGCCTTTGCACTAGGCTATAACCTCAACCCTTTTTAATTTTTTGTTTTGAGACAGGGTATCCCTGAGTTGCTAAGTTGGCCAGGCTGGGTTTGAACTTGTGATCCTCTTGCCTCTGCCTCCCAGAATGCTGAGATTATGGTTATGTGCCACTATGCCTGGGTTGACATGTATTTTTAAAATTAAAATTACTTTCCAATGATTAAAAAAATAACAGTTATTATGAAAGACAAGAAAAGTAGGAAAAACAACACTTATTAGTACTTTGGGTATATTTCTTTTTAATCTTTTTCTAAAAGATGCATTTTTTTCTCTGATACATAGTCGATATCTGTATGTTCAATTTTTTTCACCTAGCACAACACATTTTTCAGTTAACTTTAATTTCTAATTTTGTAGCAATACATAGTTTAAATTCTTCTACATATTGCCCAGAAATCAGTGGTTATGAGGTGTTCAACATTTGATTAGGGGTTTTAGCTTGAAGGAGAGAAACTGACTTAAGGGCACCATTTACTTAATGAAGAAGTACTGACTAAAAATAGCAATATAGGCCTGGCACCATGCTTATCAATGAAGATGCAAAGGTGAAAGATAGCCTAGTGGTTGCAGCTTCTCTTTATTAGTTTACATAAATGAATCATGACATAATTAACAAAATTTTATCTTTTAATAATTAAATGTCTTTTTTCTTAATTGTACTGGTTATAGGTATTATACTTGCATGGGTAGCAAATTTCAGTTTCCCACTCAGTAGTATTACTTGAATATGTAGGTAGTGAATACAAAAAGATCTGCATGAATTTTTTTTTTTGGTACCAGGGATTGAACTTGGGTCCTTGTGCTTGCGCAGCAGGCAGCAAAACCACTCAGCTAAATCCCTGGCCCTGCATGAATTTTTACTTTGCATAAATATTATTAAAGAGAAGTATACTCAAAAATATGAAAGAGTCTTGGAGCCAAGAAATACATCCTGGAAGATATCTGTAATCACTATGTCATTATCCAATCTTTAAGCAACCTAAGTAAAGTATCATCATATATAGCAACAAAGCAAGAAATGGTCTGTCCAAGACCAACCATACCATCAATCTGAGGAAGAACTAAGACTAGCACCCTTTGACAGTCAGAGTAGAAAGGGTCACTCCAGGTAATTCTTCTTACTCAAAGATTTAGGTTCTACCCCAAAGGAAGAGTCATGAATGAAGAGTTAGAAGGTGCACATTTTGCTAATGATCAGCTGTACAATTCTGGTAAACCTTTTAACTTTCTGGACTTCAGTATTTAAAATATATTAATTTTTTAAAATGTTACAGATATATCTCTACAATTCTTGCACTTTCTAAGATGTCAGTTTGAGTGCAGCTTAATATACTCAAGCTCCCTCGGAGCCTGGTTCCCTGGGACCTTCAGCAGTTGGCTCCTGAGAGGCTGCAGAGACCAGCCTACTTCCCACACCTTCCTAATTTAGCCCTGTTCCTAGTATCTGATGATAGCACCACTTTGTCAGTTGTACAGTAAATAGCATTTGGATCAGAAAAAATTTTTTTTAGTTGGATGGAGAATGGTTATTCTTCAGTGACAGGTTTGATCACAGACTAATCAGTACTGGTAGTTAATTTCAGTATTTCTCACCAAGCAGTTACAAAATGTTACTATTTTAGCCAGCATTTTAAAAATAATTTTGAGCTTGAATAGTTTGCCATATGTACTAATTTCCTTTTCTCTGCTGCAAATTTTCTGCTTGTATGCTTTCCTGATTTTTATCTTTCATATTATCTTGCTCTTTGATGAAAATTCTCAAATATGTATTAAATTTTTGTAAGAAAAAATATTTACATAATCTACATCAAATGGGTAGTAAATTCTGTACAATTGATACCATGTATTCTAGTTATGACTTACAAGAGACCTGGAACTGTTGTTTGGCAACCCTATTTGATGTTTAATTAACAACTCTCCTCTCATGTATCACAGTCCAGAATGTTGATAACTCAGCAACTGCAGGCCAGAGATGTATGTGGGTTTGAGTATAAGACTCAAATCTGGACCATAAGCGACCAAAGAAGCCTGGTCACCTTAGCCTTAATATACTTGGTTCCAAACAAAACCAAAATTTCAAGACAACCAAGGCTGGCACTTTTCATAACTGGAGAAATATTCTAGAGAAAATGGCTTGATTAAATTATCTTAGTACCTTGGGTCTTTTTCTGTGTAAAAACGTTCATTACGTTTGTTATCCCCAAAAGTGGCTCGATATACATCATGACAGCGAAGGTTCCTCTGGAAGGTATAGAATAAAACATCTTCATCTTCTTCATCCTTTACCCATTCTGAAAGAAAGTCATTAAAACACTGTAGCCAACCTGTGTTATATATAAGTCAGAGCTTTCCAGACAGTAAAACACTATTATATCAGCTCCACCTTTTCAGTAAGTTTGTCTCCGGCTACTTAAGTTTCTACCTAAGAGCTAAATATACAATATTTAAGGAAAGACATTGGTAAAGTCACATTTGCTTACAGATGAGTTACATTTAAATCTACAACTTGTAACATTAGTCTGTAGAAGTACTGGATCATTTTCTCTCCTGTCTCAAACTTTTCTGTCTGCTTTCAACCCATAGGATATCTTAAACTACCAAATACATTTTAACAGTGGTTCTTGATTTCACCAGAACCTGTCAAAGGAAGTTTACACACAATTACATCATGACTACCACCTGATTCTAAGTCACTGATTCTAAGTCAACAATGTATAATTTGCATATTTACTTTAGAGGTTAAAATGTATAAAATGTTTCCCAGAATCCATTAGATAGTGTATAATGTCAATTAATTGCAAAAACACTTAAGTAATGGAGAAAAATGATTGCAATGAAAGGCAGGACAAGTATGAACATATGTATCACTCAAAGACAAGATTTAAAGTTGGCTCTATTCTTTAAAATGTCACAGGTTCCTTTGAGGAGTAAGTTAGCTTAATACACTCCACCTAGGTGGTGACTTGGAGCAATCTGGTATAATAGCTCTACAAGATAACATGAAATTAAAATCATAAATATCCAAGCTTAAAGTTGACAAAAAAAATTAAGATGTAACTTATGAGCAAAGATTTACTCCATACAATAAACTGGCAAAGAAGTACTAATACATCAAGATACACTGGTACAATGAGGACCCTGATTATTAACTCTTAAAAACATGAGCATTATTTTAAAGTCACTCATTCAGATATATAAAGAAGGGAAGATCTGCTGAATAAGAGGCACACAGGATGATATGCAGTCCACGGAGAGAAATGGGTCAGGCACTCACCTTCTCCATCACTCAAAGGGACAAACAACACCCCCCCACCCCGATTCAAAAGTGTGGACAATTCTCTTACTGTTGTCTTTTCAACAGAAAAGACTACTTTAGTTGGTGGCTTACCAAAACTGGACACATTTGGGAAAGAAGCTTCCATTACAGGCTGATCAGTAAGCTTTACAACTATACAGGTCGATGCTTCAGAATCCTCAGTTCTTATCTTGGCGGCTACATATTTCTCATCTGGAGCAACTCTGATGCAATCAATGAAGGGCTGGTCTAATTTAAGTTCTTCCAAATTGAACAGAACTTCATAATTCTCACTGTCTGCTGCATAAAAAATATGGAAGAGATAACTCCACAAGATGTACTTTCAGAGAATTTAAAACTGAATTTCAATGTTTTAAATTAGCATTCCCCTTCTACAAGAGGCCAAGTAGAAAGTTTCTTTCCAATGATGGTAGTCTGACTTGCACATAAACTGCTATCAGTTATTTATAATATCGTGTTGTTCATTATTATTCTGTGCACTAATCTATGAGACATTCTATACTGTTACAACTTAGTCTAGACCACACACACAGTATGGAGTAATATATAGGAAGTGCCTAGTATAGGACCTGAGCACAGTGCATGCACAAAAAATGCTGGAAATTTCTACTATCCCTGCCAAAGCTTTTGAGTGTAACTGTTAACTTTATCCTCAGTAAGCCCAGATATTAAAACCTAGTCTTGCTGGGGATTTAGCTCAGTGGTTCTGCCGCCTGCCTCACAAGTGCAAGATCCTGAGTTCGATCCCAGGATCCAAAAAAAAAATACCAAAAAACAAAACCTTGTCTTTTAAAAAAATTTCAGAGTTTTAAATTTTTTATACCATTTAGAAATTAATATCAAACTTCATATAAACATGTGAAATCTGAAAAATCAGAGTATGTTAAAAGAAAAAAATTTTGTACCTTCTTCATCTTTGGAACGAACCAAGCAGCATCCTTCTTGATAATAAACAAAGCCACCATGTTTAACCTGATAATAAAATGAAATAGTTTGCTTAATGATAATTTAATCTTTTAATCATCTGGCTATTCAAGATGAAGAAATAAGATGTTATGAAAAGTACATCTGTAGAAGTATCTGAATAAACAGATATAAAAAGGTATGATTTTTTTCTGAAGCACTTAAAGGGGTTTCTAATGCATAAAGGGAAGAGGTTTAACAAAATGTGCACTGGTTCTTATGATTTAAATCATTTTAGCTATATTTTGAGCACATCTGATATCTGTATGGTGGGGTTCAATTAATAGGAATCAAGTGGCTTCTGTATTTCACAAATCCAAAATGAGGCAGATAAGAAATCTGGCTTAGACTAGCTTAAAAAAAGTCAATAACTTTCTGAGATTCTTTTCTTTAAAATATGTTGTCATCAATATCTGTGCATAGGGCCGGGGATTTAGCTCAGTGGTTCTCGTTCACAAGCACAAGGTCCCGAGTTTGATCCCCGGTACCCGCCGCCCCCCCCCCCGCCAAAAAATAACTGTGCATAGTTTTGACTTGATTTTACACAAAGTATATTACCATCTGTGGGGTGAGACTGAGAAAATAAATACTACCAGTACATGAATGGTGTTCTTGTCTAAATAAGTGTGATTGACTTCAGATGGCTTATATCACATTTATTAGGCAGTGGCATAATTTGAATTTAGAATTACTACTGCTATTTTCATTCTACCACATGTATGATTTTTTTTCCTTTTTCTTTTTGAAGCAGGGTCTTGGTTTGTAGTTTGGGCTGGCCTTGAACTCATTATGTAGCCCTGGCTGGCCTTAAACTTGTGGCAATCCTCCTGACTCAGCTTCCAGAGTGCTGGGATTACAGGTGTGCACCACCATGTCTGGCTTTCATGATTTACATTTATAATCTGTGATTCTGTTTCCCAATCACACTGAAAATTTTTGAACTGTTTGTTCAATATATTTCAGTTGAATGACTAAATATATTTAGCTTTAATTAACTAATGCGAGTATCTTTTTATGTAAAAAATGTAGACAGAGTAAGCACTTACTAATTAAATAATAAAGGTAGCACTAGGGATTGGTTTCATTTGAATTTCTCCTTGAAATCTTCAAAATTTTTAAAACACAACTGGATGTTTCTTAAAATCAGAACTAATTTATCACACTTTGAAATTATCTTAGTTTTAATCTTTAAATTTATTTTAAGGATCACACTGCATTTTTTCTTTGCTCTTTAAAGTTTTCAGCATATTTTAAAGGTCAAATGCAGATGTTTGACATGAGATTATGTCTATGAAGCATATGGTACCGCATTTATATCTTAATTGCTAATGAGATTTTTCTTAAAAAGAAAAAAACAGTAATATGATATATCCTACCTCTGCATTGATGATTTCATATTCTTCTTGTGGTTGTGTTTCTAATTTTGTTCTCACTTTTTCAAATGCATCCATGTTTTCTGTAAGGGATTTTTCGTTTTCTTGTTTAATAGGCAGAAGATCCTAGAAAAAGTTTTGTTGCTGTAATCAAAAATTTCAAACTAGGGCAAAAACAATCTGCTTTTTAATACAGAATTCTTCCTTTTCATTTAAGTATTACAATGTTAGGCCTATGATTATGAAATAATGTTTCAGAGGTCTTAAACTTTTTTTTGTTTTAGGTGGGGTCTTACTATGTTGCCTAGGCTGTCCTAGAACTCACAATCTTCCTGTCTCAGCCTCCCAAACAGCTTGAATGGGCATATACTACCATGCGTGGCTTAAACATTGTTTCCTAAGCTCACCAATGAAATGATCTCTTTTTCATTAAAAAACCTAAATAAAGAAAATGAGGTAGACACTTGATGATTATACTATTATTTTAAATGGGTAAGTCCTTAAGATACAGAAGTACTAAGATGCTCTGGAGAATGTCCAAAAATATTATGAGAAAGAGTTATACATACTTGAGGAAAGGAAATTCTGTAGGCTTTTAAATATTTAATAGTCAGAAATGAGAGGTTAAAATAAGCCTATTGAATTTTCTAAGCACTGAAATCACTTCTTTTGTCAGATTTTTTTTGGGGGGGATTAAACTCAGGACCTTGTGCTTGCAAGGCAGGCGAGGTGCCACTGAGCTAAATCCCCAGCCCCCTGAAATCACTTCTAAAAGGAGGGAAATAGCAAAGGGAGAGGAAGATATTGTTTTTACTAATAGATATTGACTATTATTCTATTCACAGCCAGAGTTATGATTAAAGAGTATCCTACTTTATTAATTATAATTTCTTCAACTGTGGGGATAACCACCAAAACAGAACTGTTTTTTTTTATCAGATCGAAAGTGAAATTATGCCTTATAAAACAAATCTTCGTTTTGAGAAAAATAATGTTCACTTATGAAAAAGTGCAAAGGAAAATTAATGAAGATGGGTAAAGATATAGAAGAAAGCAAATTAGCACACTGTCTTGTTGGGAGATAAGAGCTTCAGTTATTTCTACATAAATCACTGAAATTTGTATAAGGAAAACCTAAATGATAAAAGTGTTCACTAATTCAATACTCCATTGGTTTGCCTTTTTTGGGGGTGGTCCTGGGAATTGAACTCAGGGCCTCACGCTTGCCAGGCAGGAGCTGTGCCTGAGCTACATCCCTGGCCCTTGGTTTGCCTTATTTAAGCAAAACAATTCTAGCCATGACTTCTGACTTTAGCTCTCTGCCAAAGATGACAACTGTGCAGTGGTTCATGCTAGACAGGGAACTGAGCCTTTGGTAAGGAACTCGGACAGCTGGTAGATATCTACTGCACAAGTGTGTCCATGATACTTTACACTGGAAAGAACGTAAGTGATAAATATAGTTTGTTACAAAGAGTTTACAATCTTAAACACATGAATAACAGAAAAGTCATCAAAACGGATTAAATGGAAAATAATCATTTTCAGTTTCTCCTTTTATTATTTTTGGAATGCTTTAACGATCTGGATTAAATTCAAGTTCATAATAATGGTTGTTAAGGTAGTCTCAAACATTCAGCCTTTACTTCCAATCATGCAGTTAAAAACATAATTTGTTTTCCCAGAACTGGGGATTGAACCCAGGGCCTTCACACTGAGACACATACCCAGCTCTTCTATTTGATTTATTTTGAGGCAGGGTCTTGCTAAGTTGCCAGGCTGGCCTTGAACTTTATCCTCCAGACTCAGCTTTCCAGACTGCTGGGATTACAGGTGTGTAGCACCATGCCCAGTTCACATGGTTAATTTTTAAAGTAATTATTTGAAGTTCATAGGCTTCAAAGGCTGGTATGTTTAGTTTTCATTTTTAAACCATTTCTATAATATTTATGGTTGATCTTTATAGAGACAAAATATCTACATCAACAATTCCTATTATCACCCAAAAGAAATATTAAATTATGAATCAGAAGATTGCTAGGAATCAAGATTGAAACTATAACAGCAATAGAAAGTATCTTTTCATTTCCAGGTATAGGCTTGCCTGTTTTGTAATCACCATTAGTACTTGTGAAGGAGAGGCAGGACGGCTATACAAGGTACCCTTGTCTGCTCCTCTGCAGCTTCTAGCACATCCCAGGCCACAGAGCTAAGCTCTGCCTCTTTTAAAGACCCATATTAGGTCCCCCATTACTGAGGACCATGGCCAACACCGAGCTAAAGGCAAAACAGCCAGGCTCAATAATGGTTCTCTCGGGTTTACTTCTTTCTTGTCATAAATCCAAGTACACCGAGCTTACCTGAACCAAAATAACTCTGAAAGCAAGAGTATTTCTGACTGCCTTAAAGAAATTTAGGAAGGTCATACATATAATATCACACACTATTAGTGGTAAAAGACAGCATTTTTTTCTACTTTCCAACTGGCACACATAATACCATTTGTAACAATGAAAGCTGTTCTAAAATAGAAGAACAGAACGTGTAATTTAATGCTAACATATTGAACTCGAAAGACAAAAAGTGGTAAAGTAGAAAGACACTGGATAGTCTTTTAGCTGAGATGGTGCCATTAATACATCGTTAATACCAAGTGCAGCACTGAAAGTGCTCAAAGATTAATGGAGACATGCCAATAGACAACAAAGGGCAGTTTGAAAAGAGTTCCTACTAGTCGCATTTGAGATACTTTGAGCATCAAAAGTTAAGGGTTTTGTTTTGTTTTTTGAGACAGGGTCTTGCTGTGTAGGTCAGGTTGGCCTTGAACTCAGTATGTAGCCCAGGCTGGCCTCGAACTTGAGGCAATCCTCCTCCCTCAGCCTCCCAAGTGCTGAGATTATAGGCATGCCCCACTATGCCCAAACACTATAATTACACACGAAAAAATGATAACACTTATAATACATAAAAAATTAAAATCCAAAGGAAGTGTAAAATAGCAGTTATTTCTTTAGCCAAAATGATCAAACTTAGCATTGTTAATAGTGGGACAAGTTTACATTACATCTCCTGATATAACACAATATGAAACATTTTAATTTAAGGAAACAGAGTAAATCCAAAGGAAGTCAAAGGAAATAAAAATGTTTCCATGAAGTTAGTAATAAAGACAGAATAAAATAAAAAGGTGGTTCTTTTCAGAAATTTACCCAAAAGACTAATGTATAGCAAAATGGATCATGAAAAGACAGAATATTAGGGATATCAAGGTAGTATAACTACAATTGTAATAGTTTTTTTAAAAGATCACATTAAGCTTCTTGATGTCAACATATTTAAAAAGACAGATGAGATGATAATTTCCCAGAAAAGAGAATACCAAAATTGACTCAAGAAATAAAAAAAGCTATATAAGCTAATGACTATTGAAGAAATTTAATCAGAAATTGTCTTATTCTTGGAAGGGACACCAAAGGCAGATTTTTTCAAAAACAGCTTCTTTGGGGTTTCAAGGAAGAGCCAATCTTTTCATATACCAACTATTCAAGAAAATGGGAAGAGGTACATGTATTCAACATGACACCAAAACTGAACAATGGCCATGTAAGACAATTAAAAACCAATCAATCTAAAATAAAATGTAACAAACCTATTATTTTTAAGTAACACAAAACAATAATAAAACCCTATATAACCAAGTAGGATATCTTCTAAGAATGAAAGGATAGTCCAGCACTAGAAAAATCTATCAACATATTCTAACAAATAACCCTTAGGACCAACTCAATAAATAGAAAATAATTAACACACTTTTTAAAAAAACGCTAAAACCTGAAATAGGCATAGAGAAGAACTTCTAGACTTGATAGTTTGTTAGTTGTCTTATTCGGGAAAATGATAAATCTGCAACTGACACACGTAAAATGTATTCGTATTTGTGGTTAGCATCTGTGAAACACCAACTGGTTTTTCAAAACTTTTAACTATATTCATTTAAAAGACCTAGTTGTATTTGTTATTTAAATACAACTGTTAAATTATGCACAGCAATTGTTCCCTTGGCTCCTTGACTGCAGTTCCTCTCCTTTTGCCCTTCTCTCTTCACTGAATGCTCTTGGCAAGGCCACAGAATGGCTATCACAGTGCAGAAGGCAATGTCAATTTTCAGCGTTCATAGTACTTATGGCTATCATGGCAGAGTCCATCATCTCCTTCTCCTAAGCACAATTTCAATTGGCTTCCGGGACACCTCATTCTCCTTGTCTTCCTCCTGTTTCATTGCCCCTTCCTTTTCAGTCTCTTTAGGGGGTCGTAACTCAATCCTCTCCTTCTTAACACCTGTATGCCAAGGGCTAAGGTCCTGGATGGCTTCTCTTCTTTACAGTCCACACTGATTCACTGGGTGATCTCATACAATCATGACCTTGAATGCTATTTAAATACTGAAGATTCTCACAGAGCTATAGTCTGAACCTCTCTCCCTGGGAAACAAGCTGAAGTTGTATCTTCAACTGACTATTCAACATTTCTATGTGATGCTAACAGGTATGTCCTTATATGCCCTCCCCTAAAAATCTGTTCTCTAAACAGTCTTTCCTCATGCTATAAAAAACAAATTTGTTCTTCTAGCTGTTTAAGCTTAAAAGCCTTAAGAGTTGGTCTTGCCTTTCTCTCTTGCAACAACCAATTGGTCTGCTAAATCCTGTCATTCAATTTTCAAGAACTACATAAATCTGATTACTTCTCATATTTGGACTGGTCATATACACCTAGTGGTATGTTCATCATCTCTTCCTTGGATTACTGCAAAAGCTTAAGGGCTCTCTGTTTTGGCTGTGCTTTGAAGTCTATTTTCAACAAAGGAGCTTGAATGCGTCTAAATTGAGATTAAATCACCTTTTACTCTCCAGTGGTTTCCATCTTACTCAAGAGGAAAAGCAAGAACCCTTACAATAGTCTACAAGGTCCTAATGGAGCCTGCCTAGTTTCTTTGCTTCTCTTAGCTACTATAGGTTAAACACTACTCATCCAACATGCTTGTGATGAGGAGTATCTTGTATTTCAAAGAATTTCCAGATTTTGGAACATTTGCAGATTCTACTGGTAGGACATCTTTAACCTGAAGATCTAAAATGCTCTAAAAGATTTCATAGTATTACAAATATCCAGGATGGGGATGCTCCACCTGTACTTCAGCTGTGTTCACTTCCTCCACATGAACCACACAGGTCTCCTTGTATTTCCTGAACCCATCAGGCTTGCTCCCACCTCAGTGTTAGGACCTGCTGTACTCTATAGCCAAACACCTTTAACATAGTGCTCAGATGCCACCTTCTCAGCTAGGGCTTCCTTAACCATTCTAATAAAATAACCCTCCCTATCCCTACATTGTCTGTTCATTCCTTATCTGTCTTACTTTATTTTTAACTGTACTTATTACTTCGGACATATTTCATATTTTCTCATGTTTATATATAATTTGCTACACCCTCCAATAAGCTCAGTAAGAATAAGAAAAAAGGGTTGTTAATCAGGTCGATGAAAATTTAACAACGCTGACATACTGTGTGTCAGAAGGGCAAAAAGGAAAAGGTCTGATAATATCAAAGTTATTCAAGATACAGCTCATATATATTCCCAGCTTGAATGTATGTTAGGACTATCAATTTGGAAATTAATATGATCAAATTATATGTTAGGATATGTACACAATCAGGAATTCCATTTCTAAGTAGAGACACTAGAAAAAGATTAACACATACGCACAAAGGGATATACATAATATTACACATTGCTGCATTATAAGCCTGGCATTTTATGGTCAACTGACTTTCCACAAGAAGCAGTTTTCAAGAAATGATGCTGAGGGGTGGAGATTTAGCTCAGTGGCACCATGCCTGCCTTGCAAGCCTAAGGTTCTGAGTTTGATCCCCAGTAATGGGGGAAAAGAAAAAGAAATGATGCTGAAATAACTGGATAAGTAAAATAAGTAAAATAAAAAGCTAACTCCTACCTCTCACACCATACACAAAAAACTCAAAGATTTAGACTCCTCTCTTACTTGACTTTTTGTATCTTGTTGGATTTTGTAGGCATAGCAATGTGGGATGATATGGAAGATGAAGAAATGTGGTGTGTGGTATGATGCCAGTCTGTGAAAATCACTAGCTGGAGTGTCAGTGTCATGGAATAAATTCATCTCACCACTCGGGTAATGTAAAATGGAAATCTAAGGTACCGTACTTTCCAAAAAGAACTTCACAACTGAGTGACTTTAATTAGGTTTAGATCAACACTAGATCACTAAGTACCTCTAGTTTCTAAATATAGGTACACTGTCAATAACAGGCCAGGAGTTTCAAGATTACCCGAGAAACTTTAAAAAACAGATCCTTGGGCTGGGGATTTAGCTCAGTGATTCTGGCGCCTGCCTCGAAAGCACAAGGTCCTGAGTCTGATCCCCGGTACAAAAAAAACACAAAAAACAAAAAACAAAAAAATAACAGATCCTCAAGCTTCAACCACAGAGATTCTGATCCAGCAGATGTGGGGTGAGATCAGGATCTGATTTCTAAAAAGCTCCCCAGGATTTCTGACTGCATAAATTGACACTGAAAAGCCCATTTACAGGTGATAATTTGTTGCTAAGATAACAGGCAGGGGTATGTATAAGTACCCCTCACTAACCAACTGTGCCACTGGAGCTCTCAGGTAGGGGTACAGAATCATCAAATTTTAGTACTCAGAGCACATTTACAGAACTTGAAGTTACCCACCGCCCCCCTCCATTTTTTGCGGTAAGAAAAAGAGTCCTGAATACTTCAGTTACACAGTCATGGCTAGATCTTTTGCCTTGCAGCATTGCCATTATATGCTATGTCTTCTCTTGTTCTTTATTTATAAGGGTAACAGATCTTTACATTAAACAGATATATTTTAATTTGCCTAAAAGTACTACTTTTTCTACTTTAAGAGTTGACCAAGTTGGTATTCTGGATGCCTGCTGAAAGAATGAAATGTATGTTACTTTTTTTTTTTTGCTATTCTGAGACAGGATCTCACTATGTATGTAGCCCAGGCTGGCCTTGAACTCACAGTGGTCACCCTGCCTCAGCCTGTCTAGTGCTGGCATTACAGGTGTGAGCCACCACACTCAGTGGGAAATGTGTATTTTTATCTAGGATATCTGGATAGTTACAGGGAAAACTTCATAAAGGTTCTCAGGTCTCAGTGATCATAAAGAGAAAAGTCTACATTGGGCTGGGGATTTAGCTCAGTGGTTCTGCCACCTGCCTTGAAAGCGCAAGGTCCTGAGTTCAATCCCAGGTACCAAACCCCCCCCCCCAAAACAAAAAACAGGGCCGGGGATTTAGCTCAGTGGTTTCACTGCCTGCTGCGCAAATGGAAGGACCCCAAGTTCGATCCCTGGTACCAAAACAAACAAACAAAAAAACAAAAAACAAGAGAAAAGTCTACAGCTTTTAGATCACAGAGGGAATGGTTAATATATGATATGTGAATGCAGGGTCGCTGAAGCAGGTAAAAAATTTCTTGAAAGAACTAATATTCTCAAGGTTGCTGAATCTGATTATAGTTTTTAGATAGTGGAAGAGAACTGAGAACTTGCTTTGGGACAAATGGAGGGAAAAAATAGTCAACCTCCCATTTAGGATGAGAGCTAATCTCACAGCTGCTACCCTGTCAGTAATTCCTGTCTACTATTTATAAACTAAGTACAAAATGCTTTAAACAATGCAAAATAAAACAATCCAAAGGTCCAAAATTTAGTTCAGTAGGCAAAATTTGATACTTTATTATAAAGCAGGATAAACCTATGTGTGAGAGAGAAGATGCAATAAAAAGAAAGCATAAAGAATTCTAATTGTGTAAAGAAACAATAAAAGAGGCACACAAAGCCAAGATGTTGTAAGAAGGGAAATAACTTAAAAAACTAAAAATGTAAAGATTAAAAGTCCAGGGAAAACAGAGGACTAACATAAAAAGTTAAAGTAAGAGTAACACACATATCAATAAGGTATGAACCTGGAATAAAAACTAGAATCTAAATTTGGATAAAACAGGATGAGAAAAGTTGGCTTCTAAAAACAAACTGCCCAAGCAAGTGTTCATTAACAGATAAATGGACAAAAAAATGTGATTTACACATACATACTCCTATAAAAAAGAAATGAAGTTCTGATTTATGCTATGATACAGATGAACCTTGAAAACATTATTGTAATAAAACAAGCAGTTAAGGATATATTATAGGGTTCTACTTATATGAAATATTTAGAATAGGCAAATTCATAAAGATGGAAAGTAGATTAGAGTACCTGGGGCTGAGGGAAAGGGAGAGTGAGGAGTTACTGCTTAATGGGTACATTTCTGGGGATGATGACAGGGTTCTGGAATAAGAGGTAAGAGCTGTATAACATTATGAATGTAATTAATGCCACTGAATTGTACACCTAGAAATGGCTACAGTGACAAATTCTCCGTTATGTACATTTTATCACAAGAGGAGCTAAAACAGACTAAGAGAAAAATTAGTATGCAACAAAACATCACCAGAAATTAAAATAATAAAATATGCTAATGTATTACAAGAATATGACCCTCAAATATAATTTAAGGAACCTAAGGAACATAAGTAAAAGGTAGAGGCTGTTTGTCAGAGGCAGTAGCATAAATAACTTAATTACAAATAAGTAGGATGACCATATAACTTAACATCTGAATCAGGACTTTTTCAGAGGAAAGGGGACAATTAATAATTACACATAGGCAACAGGTGTAGACTGGGACCATCTCTATGTAAGAGCAATCAGTTCTAAGGTTGAGTTCAAACCCACAGTTTGGCAAAAGTACACGTTTGTGTATCTTCTTGAAGGACACAATAAAAAATGCAAGGCCATTTTACTTTTTTTAATTGAAAAATAACAAAATCATATGAACTTTATTGAAGTTGATTGAAGATTACTAACTTGGGACTCATAAAACAACTAACGTGTTCAGGTTTTATTACGAGCTGTAATTTGATATTTTAGGAATTTTTTTTTTTTTGGTACTGGGGATTGAACTCAGGTCCTTGTGCTTGTGCAGCACAGCAAAATCACTGAGCTAAATCCCAAGCCTTATTTTAGGAATTTTTAAAAGGTGAATTATACTATGAAACACACTGATAGGCATATGAAGGAAGTCCAGATGTGAGTCATCTTAAAAATCTACATTTCTATGTATTACATTATAACTCTGTAGATATGTATATATCTTTTTTTTTTTTTTGGTGGTGGGGATGTCAACTCAGGACCTTGAGCTTGCAAGACAGGCATGGTGCCACTGAGCTAAATCCCCAGCCCTGTATATAGCTTTTTAAACACACACACACACACACGTGTGTGTGTGTGTGTGCGTATATATATATATATATATTTTTTTTGTACTCCCCAGTACAAAACTCAGGACCTTGTGCTTGCAAGGCAGGCAGTGGAACCACTGAGCTAAATCCCTGGCTTAAACTTATATTTGACTGTAAATAATTGAGCCTGAAAAATTTTAAAGTCAAATTAGAATTCCTGAGAAAATTAGTAGTTCTGATATCTATCCATCTTTATCTTTAAACTAACATTAATCTTAATTACCTACAAATAGGTTAACTCAGACAGTCCATACCTTACATGAGAAGCTCCGACTTGGGATGTTTCTTGCTAACTCTGATATCTTGGTTTTATTCTGCAGACACTTGGTTAGGTGATATTTTTTCAATTTTATTGTATTGTAATAATGATCAGCGAGGTTATAATGATTCAAATGCTGTTTCTGCATGCATTTCCCAAGGTGAAGAATACTATACTTCAAAGCCCGGAGAAATAATTTGGTCTTCTGTTGCATCATATCAAAGTCCCTGGTTTATGCTCCCCTTGGGGCTGCCTGAAGTCGAATGATTTCAGATGTGTTATTATACAACGGTATCTAAGATCACTAGATCTTATTCTTCCCCTTCAGGGCCATGCACCTCTTAGGTGATGAACACCTGCAGGCACCTGATAACTTAGAGTAAATAAATTTAAAACTTGTATAAGTTAAAGTTTCACTCAAATCATAATTCTCGGCAGAAGTGACTTAAAAGTTCATTTGTAAAGCCAATTTTATCATGCTGAAGTTATGCAACACTGATTCCAGTACACAAAGGGGCAAACTAAAACAAAAAACAGAAAACAAGAAACAATAAAAATCTGCAAATAGACACATAGATTTAATGGGAAATCTTGGGCACTTAAGGGCTTCAAAGGTAAAATGGGTTTGATCTTACATAATTCTGAAGCTATTTTTGGTATCTATGTGGAGAGTACACTGAAAAGGCTTATTAAAGGCATGAGGAGATGAATATTTGTTGCGTGTTGGCTGTGTGCCAGTTGTTTTATCTACTTGTCTAATTATACTTCATATGGACTAGAGCAAGCAGCTATATAATATTCATTTTACAAGAGAGCAAACTGTGGCTCTAGGTAGTTTAAGCAACTGCCTTAAGTTACTTGAATACTAAGCACCATAGCAAAAGACCCAATCTGATTTGACTTCAAATCTTAGATATAAGCCATTACACTTTAATGTTACAAGAGTATGCAGCTCTTGAAAAAAAATGACTGCAAGATGCACAAATAAAACATGAGGTCCTTTCTGGTTTCAGCTGGTAAGTAAGTTCTTCTTAATCATGATAGCTAGGTAAGTAGTTAAGAGTCAGACCTGGTTCAGATTTGGACCCTGCACTTAACTGTCTCTGTGTCTTTGGGTTTCAGTGTCTTCATCTGAAAAACTAAAATAATGACATCATTTGTCTTCTGACGTTGTTACTGCTTAAGACTAAAATGAGGCATTTTAGTCTTAATCAGAGCCCTTAATACAGAGCCTAGCACGTAGTAATCACTCAACAGAAGGTAGCTAATATTTCTAGACGAGGAATAATCTAGGTATATTGCATCCTGTTGAATGTAATCGTAGAATTCTCCTGTAAAATAGCCTTTAGTAACATAGGTAGAATACTGCGTCAGATTTACTACAGATCTGATCGCTTACAACGCCCTTTCCCCCCTTAATCTCCTATGTCGCAGCAAAACAACGGGGGAATGAATATAGGAGCAGCAACCGACACTAACAAAAAAGGAAAAAAAGGCCTCGTAAATCATCATGTCTGTCCCCACAATCTCAAACCATCCATCTTCCACCCTCAGAGAGAAGACAGTACGCAGGGTTAAGGATGGGTTGGGATAAATAAATAGGCGTTCCGACAACCTATTCGTTCTCCTCGTGCAATTCTCCACCCCAGGGATGTGACAGTCGCGTTTGGAGAGGGAGTGTTGTTACACGCAGTGAAGAGACATGGATTAAAAAGGACCAGGGAACGGAGAGGAGAAAAGAGATTAGGGAAGAGACCCCAGCAACCACCCCTTATACGTACGCAAGATGAGTCAGTCCGGCTCTGGACACAAGCGAGTGAAGGAAAGCCAAAAAAAAACCAAAAAACAAACAAACAAACAAAACCAACCCCGAAGCTCTCAGGCAGGAGCAAGAATCACTGCCGCCTCGCTCACCTGAAGTCAGTGGTCTGCAGTCAGCAGGACCACAACCTACCAAGAGCCGCCCAGAGCTGGTTTGCAGCACGCCAATCTACGTAACGCCAAACCAGTACGAGTACTAAGCACATTTCGCCATCTTTATTGTGGTCAACAATGGTTTTTTTTTTTTTTTTTTTTTTTTTTTTCTCCCTTCACTCGAGTTCTTTAGTCTTCAAAGATATAATACTTTAGGATCTTTTCTAGTCTTCTGAGCTGGAGACGGAGCTGGAAAGGCGAAAACGAAGAGTAACAGCATCTCACTAGCTCTGCCACAGTTTCCTCGTGCTCTGGTCCGCCCTTACTCAAGATGGCTGCCAGCAAAATGGTGCAATGACGCGAGACAGCGCTACCTTGGTTGCCAAGGAGATGAGAATACCGGAAATGCGGAATTCGGGGAGGGCGCGCGCAAGAGCCGTAGGCGAGAGGGCGGGCGTTACAGGTCCTGACAGAGAAGAAGTTGGCAGGTCCTGACAGGGGAGAGCTGTTTCGGCGGCATCTCTGCTAGTAGACAGCTCGGTTGGGATGGAGTCGCGAGTCTCGGACTCCGGGGTGGGAGAGACAGAAGTCGCCGAGGGTGAGGGTCCGACATTTGGTGGCACCACACGGGGACCCGCAGTCTCGGCGTCCCTGGGAGCCTCCCGGTGGAAGCTCCTGCGACAGGTAAGGGAGTCCCTCACGCCTCACCTTTGCCTCTGGCCACTCCCCTCTCAGGTACCTGGCAGCGTTCCAGGTCGCCTCTCTCTCTACTTGGCATCTTGGGATGTTCCTTCTCAGCTTGGCGGGAGCCACTTGAAAAGCGCCCCCTTGTTTCACATTAGGGTCCCACCAAAAAGGAGGACTCTGATGGGTTGGGCGGGGAGCGGAACTGCCATGGCTGAGCTCCTTGGAAACTCAGATTGAAGTAGAAGATCCTCTGCTAGACATTTGTCTGGGGGCATCGCTGGGACCACCACTCCCCACGTGCTGCTCTTCTTTCTCATTTCTGTTTTGCCACCTTCCCCGGGCTGCTTCTTGCTTCTTAACTCCCAGCCTGATTCTAGTTGCCAGTTCTAGTCTCCACCCTCTGGCCCTAAGCCTCTCGGAGATCTGCGTAGTTGACTGTGATAGGACCGGGAAACTACGAATAGAGCGGCTTGAGGAGGGTAGGAAGAGCTGCACTGTTCCCTCTATCACTGGAAAGTGAAAGCCAAACGTTTGTTTTGTAGTTTGAGGAGATCAGCGGGATACTCGGTGTCCCAAGTGAACGAGTCGAGGTGTTGGTTGGTTCATCGACAGTAGCTTCTACTACTTAAAAGTTGGTGTGGTTTCTGATGATTTCACTCCTGGGCAGGTTTGACGGAAGTTCCGATTGGCGCTCACCGACACTCTCCAAACTGCTTGAAGTGAAACCTGTTTGTGTTTTCACACCCCAGTATTATGCCTCTGCCTCAGATGTCCTAAAACTTTTGAGTACACTTTCCACTTCTGACCACTCGGCGAGTTTCCTAGCTCTTGCCACCTTACTTGAAATTGTGCTTTTAGTACTTTTGGAATCATTTTGTTTGCAGTTTTCTCGGGTCGTTGTAAAAAGCGGTCTTTTAGTGCTAGGTATTGCGAGATAACTCAGCGTTAAGTAAGATCATTTCTTTGCCGATGCATTGACAGTTTTTCCAGGGCATTGATCATTAGGTTTTGTTATTAATGTTATAAATGGTAATGTAGGACAACAAAATGAATATTCTCATATATCATCACGTTTATAATATAAGTACCTATCTCTTAGAATTATTAAGTGATAAATAAGGTCTTTAATCAAGTCTTATATTGAGCATCCCTAACCTGAAAATCCAAAATCTGAAATGCTCCAAAATTTGAAACTTTTTTAGTGCTGACACGATGCCACAAGCGGAAAATTTTACACCAGGCCTCAATAAAACTAGTGGCCGTCAAAATGCAGGTGCACCAAATATGTAGAATTATCTTCAGGCTGTGTGTGTAAGGTATATATGAAACATACGAATTTGTGTAGACTTGGGTCATGTTTCCAAGATATACTATTATAAAAATATTACAGAATCCAAAAGAATCCACTAGTGGTCCCAAGGATTTCAAGTATGGAATTCATTTTCATCCCCCACCTTCCATAAGGATACAAACACAAACGTGTTTGGGTAAGCACTATCTTTTGTTATTCTGTGACAAGACTTAAGTGATTCTTAATATTGTAAAACTTAGTCGACCAGTATTTACCTTCATTCTGTCTAAACCAAAACCATGAAAAGCTTTAGCTGTGGCTATCATTTGAACTCTGTACGCACTTTGACATTTAATGTTTTTGGTACACATGTGCCTATATTAGTGTCTTTTAATGTTCTCTACTTGGTGAATGACTTCACCCTTCACACTTTCTAAAGTGAATTTCCCTCATCAACTCTAGGTTAAGTTAAACCCTCATCCTACCCTTTATTGCGTTGTTTTATGATCATTTGCTTAGAGTTTCTTTTTCTTACTAGATGGGAGTTCTCCCTGGGGAGAGGGAGGGGAGACTATGTATGGTTAATCTCTATCTTTTGCACCTAGCTCAGGGGCTAGCTAGTTGGTTGTAAGTAGATAGAGTTAAATGCCATGGAACGCATCAGACTGAGAAGAATCTTTAAGTGGCCTATAGTGCTGAGTCCTTATTGCCTTGTATTAATTAGTTATTGCTGATTAGCACAAGCACAACCTCACTATGACTTACAGCAGTGACCATTTATTTTGTTGTATATCTGTAGGTCACCTGGGATTTGACCCACACAGGCTGTGATCAGCTGGGTGGCTTTATACTGCATGCTTGATCCACACACCCCAAATCCTTGGACAAGTTGGCTGCCATGTTCTCATGGTGATGGCAGAGTTATAAGAGGGCAAGCCCAACCACAAATCACGTTGTAAGCAACTGGTTTCATGATGTTTGCTAACATCTCTTTGGCCAAAGTAAGTTACTTGGTCAAGACCAATGTCAAGGAGCAGAAAAATATCCTCTTTTCTTGGAGATGACAGGGAGAAAGTGAATATTTTTCTATAATAATGTTATCTATCATACACTAGACATTTGGAGCCTCTCAGTAAGTAAACCATTCAAATGAATGGATCATTCCTATTTCATATACACCCAAAACTAGAAAATCCTGAGGGATCTAAGCAGTGCTAGAGATACACAACATTCTTTAGTCGGGCACCTTCATGATATCTGTTTCTGTTTGTTTTCTCTCTCACAAATCTGTTTTTCCATTACCTCAGTGACTCTAATGTTATCTCATGGTCCTTCATTTTATAGTAACTGTTCAGTATTACCTGTCTTTTAGAATTCACATTTCTGAGAGAAAACTTGGTTGACCTAGTTCATTATTTGGTACCAGGTCACATGAAAAGTTGCTGACATTTGAGTCTAATGCTAACTTCAATTAGATGAAAGTCTATGGATCAATAGCCATAGATGGTATGAATGTTGTTTTATTTTCTTCTTTGTTGGGTTTTATTTCCTGATAGCAAAATGGCCATAGGCCATTTTAGGCTTTCACCATCCACCCAGCTAGTGATCCAGAAGAAATGACCCATTTTCCCAACATCTAAATCATTTCCTCCAAACAACTCTGACAGGCCAAGTTTGAAGCAATTATTGTGTCCAGGAGAATGGGGCACTTTGGTAACCTGGCACATTAGCTGCATGGAGGCAGGAAAGATAACAGCCCCACCACGATTACATAGAGGAAGGGGGGCAGGACAGATGAAAAAGTAGCAACGACTGTTACACACTTACACAGATTCTCCCAAACACATATTGAAGGAAACTGCTTGCCTAGACGGCTGAATACTTGGCTGCAGAATCTGATTAATGGAATATTTCACAGTAAAATTCAAGCTAAAATAGGATGTTATGTGTTTGAATACTGAAAGAGATTGCCGTTTTTGGAATAGAATTTAATATACTGTGGTTTGAAGCCCAGATCTGCCCTTAACTTTGTAAGGTAGTGAGCAATCTCTTTCAACCTCAGTGTTGTTCATTTTTAAATGAAGGAATGAGACTAGATTTCTTTAGTACTTCTCTCATCTATGATTATTTTTAAATGAAATTCTTTTCAAGGGCTAGAAATAATTTTATTTTCTAATTCTATTGTTTTATGAATTCTCAATGTAGATTTTACTTAACACTTTAAAATTGCCTATTGGAGGTCTACTGTCTAGAGTATATAAAGAATTTTAAAAAAATCAGACCCCTCAAATTTAAAGAGCCAGTGCAAAAATGGGCATCTGAAATGAACAGACATTTTTCAGACAAAGAAGTAGAAATAGCAAATAAACATATGAAAAAGTGTTCAACATCACTCATCATTTGAGAGATGCAAATTAAAACAACGCTAAGATTCCACCTCACACCAGAAAGAATGGCTGCTATCAAGAAATCAACCTGGGGGCCTGCGATTTAGCTCAGTGGTGCCGCTGCCTGCCTGGCAAGCGTGAGGCCCTGAGCTCGATCCCTGGTACCAAAAAAGAAAAAAAAGAAAGAAAGAAAAAATCAACCAATAGCAAATGCTGGCAGGGCTGTGGACAAAAAGGAATACTTCTCCACTGTTGGTAGGAGTGTAGACTGATGTAACCACTGTGGAAATCAATGTGGAGATTCCTCAAAAAAAACTAGGATTAGAGGTCCCATTTGACCAAGCTATTCCCCTGCTGAGTATCTTCTCAAAAGAATTAAAAGCATCATACCACAGCAGTATATGTGCATCCATGTTTATAGTGGCACAATTTGTAATAGCTAAATCTTGGAAACAACACAAATGCCCATCAAATGGTGACTGGATAAAGATGTGGGTTTTTAAAAAAGTAAAATGGAGTACTACTCAGCCATAAAGAATGATAAACTAGAGACATTTATAGCTAAATGGATGCACATTGTGGCCATACTTTTAAGTGAAATAAATAAGACACACATGTGTGAATACCGAATAGCTTCTCTGGTGTGAAAAACTGCAAGTATAAATGAGGACAAAAATAAAAATAAATAATGTAAAACAGGAAGAAAAGTTCCAATAGGGAAGGAGAAGTTGGGGTGGGAGGTAGAAGGGAAAGAAAGAAATATGAGAAAAGAAGGAAAAGATAGTAACAAAGTTATTGAATCAGGTGAATGGAGTAAGGAGAATATCTTACTGTCTTTAACTCACCATAGGCATTAATGCAGAACTATAGAACATGTAAACAGAGTTCTGGCACAGTGGAAAAACCACTAATGTCAGCCACACCTAGATCTTAATCTGTCCTGGGTCTACATCTTACTGTTTGGCTTTTTATTGGTCTTCTATATTAAGTATGTAGATGTTTATGGAATGTACTTTTGTTTTAACTTTGTTCTTGACCTTGTTTTATAGCCCACTTTTGCTTTCCCTTTTTCTTTCTCACCCACATTTTAGTGTTATTTTGTTGTGTTATGCGTCTTTGTAAGCCTTGTTAAATACTTTTGTATCATACATGGCATGAGTAAACCTCCTATAAACTGTGAGAATTTGGGCCACTTTTTACTTTCTAAATCTTGATTTCCTTTTCACTTATTAAATGGGAAAAGAACATATCTGGTGGCTTGCTTTGAGGATATGAGATATATATGTGAAATGTTTAGCTTAGGATTTGCCACAGTATAGAAATAATAACTGTTACCATTGTCATGATTTTTCTTGGTTATATTGAGTCGTCTTTGGGATTTTTTTTTGTCTTTGGATGGGGGATCCTTCTTCAAAGATATATTGGCCCTTTCTCCTTGTTTTATTCCCTCTCTTTATCGTGGTTGAAATAGTATAGAATCTTAATGCTTTCCCTCTAACTTTGATTCTCCTTGACCTTTCTTCTGTCTTGAGACCTACGTAGAGCTATTTCTGTTTACATGTTAATATGAGGTTGTTTTTTTTTTGTACCGGGGATCGAACTCAGGACCTTGCGTTTGCAAGGCAGGTGGCAAAACCACTGAGCTAAATCCCAGGCCCTGTTAATATGAATTTTAAAGAAAG